CTCGAGTCAGATCTACGGCTGTGAGGAATGTGGATATTTTCTCCATGAATCATGTGCGAAATTACCTCTAGAGATGGAACACCTCTATCATGCAGAGCATCCGTTGAAACTCCAGGTTGCAATGTACAACTACTGCGATTTTTGTGAAAAACGAATTAAGGGCTTCGCGTATCGCTGTGATCAATGTGATTTTGATCTGGACATTGGATGTGCACGGATGCCTTCTATCAGACCTGGAACAACACTGCAAGTTGAAGACGTGCAAAAAAAAATTTTTGGTCATGATCACGAGTTGACAAGAAGCGCCAAGAAGGAAGAGGAAGGAGTTGTTTGCAGTGCATGTGAGAAACAATGCACCGGTCTGATATACGGTTGCGAGGATTGCGGATTTTTTCTACATAAAGGTCGCGCTGAATTGCCGCAAGAGTGTCGACACTTCTTTCATCCGCTCCACGAGCTCGCCCTCCAGCGCAGTGATTCGGAGGTTCACTGTAATGCCTGTGAAAAGAAGTGGCGTGGCTTCACCTTCTCGTGCGGGGAATGCAACTTCCATTTGGATGTTGACTGTGCTATGAGGGTTGGAAAAATAATACGTCATTTCAGTCATGGACATCCTTTGAAGCCCACTAAAATGGAGTTGAACCGTAATTGTTCAGCTTGCAGCCGATCGTTCTCTGACTCAAGCCAGATATATGGCTGCGAGGATTGCAAGTATTTTCTCCATGAATCATGTGCCAAGTTACCGTTAGAGAGGACACACCCATATCACGAAAGTCATCCCTTGAAACTCCTAGTTGCATCATACAACTTCTGTGATTTTTGTGGAGAAAAAATTGAGGGCTTCGCGTACCGCTGTGATCAGTGTGATTTTAACCTGGACATGAAATGCGTTGGAATGCCTTCAATCAGCCCCGAAACGATGAAGAAAGTCAGAAAAATGAAAATCAGAAATTTTGCACATGATCACAAGTTGACAGGAAGCATCAAGAGCAAAGGGGATAGAGACGTTTGCAGCGCAGGCAAGAAAAATTGCACCGGTCTGATATTTGCTGCGACTGCGATGGTGACAGCTTTTATCTTCACAGGGGTTGTGCTGAATTGCCTCAAGAGTATGAACACTTTGTTCATCCACGCCACGGGCTCAAACTCCAGAGCAGTGATTCAGAGGCTTTCTGTGGCGCCTATGAAGAGATGGTTCGTGGCTTCGCCTTTTCTTGCAAGGAATGCAATTTCCATTTGGATGTTGTATGTGCTATGATGGCTCAAAAAGTAAATCATGGTGATTATATACATCATCTTAGTCATGGACATCCCTTGAAGCGCACTAAAAAGAAGTTGAAAGGTCATTGTTTAGCTTGCGATCAATCGCGATTGGACTTGGGGGAGACATATGGCTGTGACAACTGCAGTGTGTGGCTCCATATATCCTGCACTGAATTACCGCAGAATGTTAAGCATTTTCTCCATGATTTTCGTAAGCATGACCGTGAATGTGACTGTGAACTCACTTTGGAAGCTCAAATCGCCTTAATAGGTGGGAAAGGAAAGTTAGAGTGTGATGCCTGTCAAAACACATGCCGGGGGTCTGTGATATACCAGTGGGGACTCTGTGATCTCAACTTGGATGTTGAATGCGCTTTAATGCCCTTGAGGATCCCGGAAGGTACACAGACAAAAAATTTTCCTGCTGGCCATGGGCACCCGTTGCAGCTGCGTAGTAGTAAAGAAGATACTGAATTTCGCTTGTGCTCTGTATGCGACAATCCTTGCGTTGATACTACCTATCAATGCACTGAGTGTGAGGGGTTCATTGTCCACGAATCTTGTGCTGAATTGCCACAGATTATCCTTAAACGTTGTCATCATGACCACCCTTTGAATCTGCTCAGGAAAAGCAGATTTACGTGTGCAACCTGTCTCAAATTAAGTTCTGGCTTCACTTATGACTGCAACATATGCTCATCATCGTTCAGCCTCCACATTGGCTGCAAGAATCTTAAGCCCATCATAAAATATGGTGATCACGGTAATTACCTTCACTTCCTCGACAATATACACGAAAAAGTTTCATGTAGGACCTGTCACAGAGAATTATTCCCTTGTTCCAGCAAGGAAATGGAGGTGGAAACTGAAAACGAGCAGGGACTTTTTCGTTGTGTGAGGTATGATTACAATCTACATTTTTTGTGTGGTCCATTACCTTGTCAAATCAAGTCTGACGACCACAAGCACGTTCTACAACTTGAGGACAAGTTTGTCGAGGACTATTCAGGCAAGCATTATTGTGATGCTTGTGAGAAAGAAAGGGACCCGGAGGAGTGCGTCGACAAATGTTCTAAAAAAAATTGCCCGTATGTTGCTCACTTTGAATGCATGAAGCCTGAGGTATGTCTAGTCCCTTTTATGCCTCAAGATTTTTGTCGCTGCAAAAGTTCATGTAACTCTGCAATGTCGCAGCAAGAAGCCTAAAATCACAGAATCAGATGCTTCAAATGTTTGCTGTCCTAACTATGTGCATGTAATGCAATTTTAGTGCAAATGCAGAATGTAGGACAAGGATGTTCTGTAGAAAAACAATTTTCCTGTGTACTGCCTTCGATGTTTTCTTAGGTCACGCGGTAGGTTGTCTTTCTCATTTGAGATAAAACAACTGTCCGTGTTTCATAGGTTTATTTTAAATCTTCTGCAAGTAATGCTGATGTTCACTAGTGGCCAATGTTCGCCTCTATCTGTGAGACATAATTGGTTCTCTTAATCCTAGAAAAAGAAGTGAAGAATCAAAAAATTCGAGTCGACGAAGCAAGAGGCTAATGCAAATTGCTCAAACCATTTTTCCAGATAAGAGAAAACTTTTTAGTTAGTTTAGACCGGCTGACTTAATCAGAAGAAAAATGACCTCGTCTTCATCCTCAAGACTTCTCAATATTACTTCATTTGTCCTTCGTTTACTTTTACTGCTGCAGTGAACTCCCGATTATGCTTCAAATTTTTATCTCAACTTATGTTCGATTGTCAGGTTATACGTTTACTGAAGGATGAGCAGAACGAAGTGGAATTAAGAACCCTCGGTCCTAAATGCATTTACGGTAAAGTAATGACTGAAGTCCAGGACACAACCGAGATGGCTCTGGACAATGAGGAAACAGATGGTGTACCTGAGACAAGAGAAGCAGGCAAATTAGAGAATTTACTAAATGCTTTCGTTGTAGACAAGAAAACCAAACTTGAGGGCACTTTTCAGATTTTAAAGAAGGAAATGATAGGGACAGGGTATGCATCTGTTTGGGAGCGACTGGAAGGTAGTGGTAGCATTGCAAAAGTTTCCCCATTTTCAGACCAGATTCTCACCCAGTTCATGGACCAGCTAGAACCCGGTGTAGAGAACTTAGAGTTCTCTGCGATATTCTTCAAAAACGAAGAACTTGTCGAAGTTGAGAGATACATGGTCATGCGGAGCCTAGCCCCTATCCTAGAGCAGCTGCTCAAGAAGCACGGAGACATAAGCACCGACTCTGAGTTGAACTTAGATTCAAAGAGCCTGATCTTTAACGTGCTATGCGGGGCAATAAGTAGCATGTCCACCACACAGGTCAACGAGCTATCGGAGACCTTGCTCCATGATTGGTGGAACCAGGTTATGATGGCCAAGCATGCAGGGTTCAAGATCCAATTTGTTCTGGATCATTTGGACAAAATCTTTCGAGCTCACTTTGCTCTCCGAGCAGAAGAAATTCAGAACCAAAGGCTGAAAGAGTTGGAAGATCAAATCGGAAAATGCCAGATTTCCTTTAAGGAACTGACCCATATAAGCAGGCAGTATAAGGAATCTGCAAAAGCAAGTTTGAGGCGGGAGCTGTTGGGCAAGGCAAAGGCGTTAGAAGGTAAAACAGTCGACACAGGGTTGTTGTGATGCTCGTGCTCTCACAGGCATGCAACAACTCTAGTTTAATATGTTGAAAGAGACACATATAAGATAGGAGGTTGTGCAATTGTGTTTTGATAAGGTATTGTGGACGTACAACATTTGAATTTGTCACTCATGTGTATAACTCATCTATACTGCGTTTATCATTTGCCATTCTTATAATATAGGTGTCAGATTACTAATAGATCTAACCGCTATAAACGCAATTTAGCTGTCAAGATGTTTGGTTGTAATCTGCTCCATACTTGCTTCTTTTTAATTGAATCTATCCCCTTCTGGCTCGCCTATTAATCACAAAAGTTTGGTCCATAAGAGAAATTCTGTTAGTGTCCGTGTCCGTGTCCATGTGGAGTGTTCAAGAACATGTTATCTAAACAGTAATCACAAAAGAAGCAAGGAACCATGTGTATATATACAGAATTCAGACATTATTCCCAAAAAAAAGAAGGGAAGTGTTGTTGTCACGGGGAACAACACCGGCATTTTCTGTATCCTAGAGCTCTCCACAGCAGTAAGATTGCAGCTACACCAATCCACCAGTTACGAATAGATACACCAGTACACCATTTTCCATATACCGTGAGAAAAACAGTGTTGGATGATTAGCTTTTCCATGCTCGCACATCAAACATTGCCATGTCTGGGCTGGGGATTTAGCAATGAAACGCTGTGCATTGTAGGATGTAATCAGTCCTGTATGTCCCGGTTCACTCATATTATCTGTTCGACCGATAGTTGTAGGATGTGATCTGTCCCGCTATATCCCGGTTCACTCATATTACCTGTCCAGCTGATAATTAAGTCTCCTTTCTCTCCGTGTCAATTCAATCATTTTGCTCATGGCTTTTGCTATATCAAGGCCAATGACCGTAGTTAACGTCGAATTTTGTCATCTGATCTGCTCTTTCTGCTTTTCATATTCATGAAGTGATTGCTTTTTAATTTTATCCATCGCTTGAATACAACCTACTTGTTTGAATACCCACTTAGGTTCACTACAGCAATTTGTAAGCTAATCGGGTAATCCAGGATATATATCACTAGGATGACACCAACAGAGTGTGAGACTAACCAATATGAAACTAGTGTAAACTCATTAGGTGCAAACTGAAAAGAATGCCAACTGCCAAGGTAATCTACCCGGTTATTACCTGTAATAACAGGAGTAGAGTTTTACACCTACATACAATGGATCTACATCTATCAAGTATTGGGTACTCCTATGTGGATAGTAGCGATGATGTTACAACCGATTGGATATGGAAATCATGGGCCATTCACCAATGGCTATAATTCAAATGCCAGTGCAATGGATTTGAAGAATTTAAAGGAGCTCCTTGGCCAGTCTCACTGGTTTTTCTTTGAGAAATGCAAAATCTCCATCAGGCAAGGTCAGCAAGTGATGATCTAACTCATCCTCCTCACTATCCACTGTTACAGACGATGCAGGCGAGTCCAAGGCATCATCTGCATTAGCACAATATAGAACTGTGAGACAAAGGGGAAAGTAACTGAATAGAAGAACAAACAAAAGAGCAGCTTATTCCTCGCATGATGGGAAATGTTCAGCAGTCACTGAGGATGCTTGTAGAAGTACCAGGAACTCACTCCACTATTGCCACATCTATTATATCCCTCCTTCTGGAAACTCGGACCATTTTAATTTTTTCATATCTTTTTTTATAATCAATGATTATGTTCGAATAGGGCTATCAATTTGTGTTCCCATGTCATATTCTGGTTATGTATTGGATTTTGGGCATGTGCTAAAGAATTAATTTATTTAAAGTGTGTTAATTTGTGTCTTTTTCAAGTTTATTGATATTTGTTTCTATAAATGAGTCAAATCTTGTCAATTCATATAATAATTGTTAGCCCTACGTTTGAAGGATAGTTGAAGATTGAGATATTCTAAAATTTAAAAAAATAATAATAATTAGATTATTAGTGCCAATTACATGAGTTTATAATTTGATGCACTAACTAATGACAAAAAATTATCTACCACTTATTTGACCTATAAATCACGAACACTATTTTTTTTTTTTTTTTTGGTAACCCGGGAACCCCCCGCACAGCCGACAGCCGGAGAGGTAAACCCGGAGTGACGCTAGCGCAGGACCCACCACCACGACGTCACGCTTAAGAATCCCCAACGCCAGCGCTGGGATTCGAACTCCTATCCTTCGTGGGGGGAAGGGAGCCCGAAACTAACGCAGCCGCTGAGGGCGGTGGTAAATCATGAACACTATTGCTATTTATTATTATTGTTAATTGGGAACATTAATTGATCTATATAAATTCTCTAAAGTCCATTAATGAGAGGAAACTTTGTAAGACATCTATAGCAAAAAAAAAAAAACAAGTACAAGTAAGTACAACAAAACATAATAATGAAGTCTAGTAAAGAGCAAAATTGTGGAGGACACAACAGGCCCATCGGACTTACCAGAATATGTTGGATGGTCAGGCAGATGTCGAACTGCCGCAACCTGTATGCTTTGTGGAAGTAGGCAGTTGAAGAAAGAACCTGAAACGTCGGAAGATTCTTCAATCAGACTTAACGACTAGAGACAACCAACAACTAGAGTATGTGTTTCTGAAGCCAGAAAGTGCAAGTAGGTATAATTCAATTATGGGAAAAGCAATCTTTTTCTCATTATGATCCACTAAGACATCTTTTTTTTTACTGTCTCCACCATTTTCTTGACGAATGATCTTTCTGACATCAAGATGCAGATGACAAGATTCATCTTAAATTGTGACAGACACTGAAGAGTCAGTTTCTATCGAATGTTCTAGCAGATATACACCCTAGAATACCAGATATATGTGCCCGTTCCAGAAGCTCCATTGCAATCTTGGGATGGAGCTACAACTTTGTCACACGGTAAATAGGCATGCAAGAAATGAATTTTGGATTTCAACTCTCACCTAATCGGGCCAGTCTATTTACCCATCCAGGAATTGACTTTCCAGTCAATTCTTTGCACACTTCATCAGTGAAATGATTGCAATTCTTTGCAATCAAATGATAAGTGTCTCCATGATATTTTTGGCAGAGGCGCTCCATAAATGATCGAAATTCTGAACAAGACATGTTGGTACTGCCCAATAGCACTGATCTTCTGAAAATAAAGCCAGGACAACTTCTTGGTTCCACCTCAAAAACCCCACTTGTAGGATATTCATGAGCTCCAAACGCATATTCTAAGCCATGGGCTAACCAAACAAAACCAAGAAAATGTGTCAGCATTTATTGTACTAGTGTTAACTTAGAGAAGCTAAAGAAAAAGAATGGATAAATGGCTTTTATCATTGAGCTGAACTAAGCGCACTGACGATGTTAGTCAAATGCTCCCATTGAATTTCCTATTTTTCAGAAAATAAATACAACATCCATAAAGGGAGACTTAAAATGAAGGATTCCAAATAATTTAGCCCCGCTCCAACCATAAAGAGAAATCTTGATGTAATCCGCTGGAGCAAACGAAGAGTGCTTGCAACCCAAACAACTCACGGTCACGGCAACATGATGAAAGCACCAGTCATGTAGTCCTTACAACTTGCAAAGCTGTACGAGTTTCAGCTGCAATCTCCAAGTTTCCAGAACGAAAAACCAAATACTGACTAAAACTGAGAAGTTCAGTTTTCCATCTATTTCTTCTAAAGCAAAATATGTTTCAGACTTTCTCAGTCTAGCTCTGGAGAAAGCGAAAATGTGGGCTTAGACACTTGGATATAGTTATGTGAAACGTAACAAGGGAAAATGCAGAAGGCGGTCAAAAAAGCATGCCAATATATACCAATTCCACCTAGTATTGTACCTTCATATGACAGTCAAAACCTAACAAATACAAGTGAACATGTTATGCCTAACGTAGACATTGATCTCTCCAGCATAAATAACTAGTACACTCACATTTTTGTATGATGCACTAAAAGCAAAAAAAGAAAAATCATCCCCACAGAATCTGATTCATCTGATTGATGATGTCTAAGATCTTCACTGACTGGTTATGCCTAATGTAGCCATCGATCTCTTCCATTCCAACGTCCTTTATGCCTCTTATTGTACTTTATCATCAGATACTAAAGGCGCGAATGAGAACAATTCTCTTCTCTGAACAAGTTTCTGAGTAGAAAAGTAGCGTTTGATAATGACAAAAATTTCTTTTCCTGAAACAGAAATTCATCTAATAGCATCGATGTAGAATTCATACATCAGCAGGTGGCTAGCAGCGGCCGGCGAAGGCAAGCTCTTAGAAGAATTGTTGTTCTTGTTTCTGTTTCAGAAATAGAAAAGTAAAAAAAATCTACTTCTCATTTCTGTTCCAAACCTATTTCTGTAACAAAAAAATTGTCTCGAAAATAGAAGAATGAAATTGCGTTGCCAAATGGATTTATGATCCAAACCTATTCCTAGGAACAGAAAAATAGAAAAACAGAGAAACGGAATGATTATCATTCGCGCCCTAAACTTCCAGCAACCACTTCAATCCAATCCTTCACATATTACCCTTGATATGGTTGATAATGTCCGATGCAGCAAGATACAGATAAAACAATTTTTACTTGAGAACAATCAGTCACTTAACTCTTAAGACCATAAAGGTACTTCCACCGCCCTTCAAGACAGACCACATATCTGAACTATTGCTGATGTATAACTCAATGACAATAAGATCTTTAACAAGACAACAAGTCGCAAGAAACATATTAGGACACATCAGAGGGAAAAAAATTCAAAGCAAAGCCCTCCCAACAAAATTAATGGACAGAGTCACTCATCGGTCAAGCCAAGGGTTTGTAAATCAAGAAGAAAAATTTTTCAGCTCCAATAAAGATTCATTTCCATCAAGGGAAATTTCACTGTGATTCAACTAAGCATCAGAAGTTAAAAAGCAGCATGATTACCAACAATGCCTGCAATAGCCTCAACCAAACACTTCAATCACCATTCATAGAACTATTAAGTGAAAGCATTAGTTCATTCTCTTTACTTCCATCTACTATATGTTATCAACGACGTATTAGATGCCACAGCTTCAACCAAAGAAAATGGCATATCTAGCTTGAACAATAAAAAGGACTCACCTTCAATACCCGAATGGAAAATCCCAAGCCCAAACCAGTAAAGATAGTTGTTAATTGGAGTGAGATCATAGACATTGAGATACAGAAAAGCACGATCGCCTCCTTCCTCCTTCACCAGGCTCGAGCCTGAGCTCGAGCTCGAGCTGGAGCTCAATGGAAACAACCTCATTATACTCTATCTTCCCACTCCAATTCTCCAATTAGAGAGTCACACTACCACCAGCTCAACATCTTACAAACCAAAGTAGAAACCCCTTAAAGAGACTGGAACACATGGAAAACAAAAACGTAAGCATATCGCATCACATCCCATTTTCAACATCAAGCCTATATAGAAAATCTACATAAAAAATCTTAAAATTTATAATTCAAGAAAACCCATGTTTTGATTCCAGCTTTCTCAGAGTGACAACGCCGCTTTTCTCAAGAACCGAAGGGAATTCAAACGGGAGCAACCATACCCAGAATCGAAAAAAGCATCTTCATGATCTCACCTCACTAAATTTGAAACCTTTCCACCCCGGGAGAGGGAGAGGGAGGCTTGCAACTCACAAAAGGGGCATCCGAGTGCGCAAAGTGAAGATGGTATTGCGAATTTGACCACCAATTTGGGAGGAAATCAGAAATTGCGAGACCAACGGGGTAGAGAGAGAGAGAGAGAGCTCGGAGGCGGACGAGAAGGGAATTCGAAGGCATTCACCGCTCCTCTGTTTCTTCTGCGCGTCTGCACCAACCCAGGCTTTGGAGAAGATTCGTCTTCTTTTCTCGAGTCACACGACTGATGAAGGACCCTCTCTTTCTCTCTCTCATGAGCTCACCAAAAAAGTGCAATTTCTGGTTTACTTGACGTTTTTCACTTGTGTTTATCAATTTTTGTTTTGCGCTCAGTAACATATTTTTCCTTTCGCTTTCTTTATGTTTTTCAAAATATAAGTACGTAAAATCATAGCGAATTTGTCGCTGCTATGTGAACTTCTTAAGGCGCCGTGATTATCTCGGTCTCCATTTATCATACATTTTGTTAATCCGGTTAATCAATATTTATATGTTTAGTAGAATAAGGGATAGATAATACTTATAGTTTATATATATCAGATCAATTGGAATAGGAGAAAATGTCGTCACATATGCATCGAATAAATTTAAATTTTTCTATATTCATTGTGAAAACAACCGTAGTTATGAGAAATAAGGAAAATTTGTTCATCCAATGTTGGCCTGCCTGCTTTGGAATAGAACATTTCAAGTCCGCCAGCGAAGGCAAAAAGTCTTGTAAAATATTCACAAACACGTGCTATATAGTCATGCAAAAAGCTGTTCTAATTTTGCTTATCTTTGAGGATATATATATATAAGCCAAGGGGTAGATAAAGATATTATTTATAATTTCATTCGCAGTAAAGGCGATTTGCTTCGTGAAGATCTTTTCTTGTGATTTATGGATGTGTTCCAGGCAGTAAAGCCCAGTGGGCTAGTAAGTCCGTTGGTAAGCATCGTCGAAATCTATTTAAAAGAAAAAAGTAGTCTTTTGCAATGAACTTATTAAGAAGATCTGAGTCTTCTTCTAGTTCTTTATCACAAATGTACTCAGATCAAGGACCAATAAATAGAGAAGAGATTAATATAGAAGATTTCAATAAATTTATTGAAAATTGGTTCATTCCAAAAGTTAAACTTGATAAAATTTATGAGCATTCAAAGTTTAAACTCTTTGGGAATAATGACTATGTCATTGTTACTGAAGAAATAGATGTATCACTTTCTAACTCTTTTGCTTCAACACAACTTTTGAATAAAGATTCTATAAAGAAACATTCCCAAAAATGAAATTACATGCATATAGGTTTGGTACAGGTTGGTGCAAAACTCCTTACTAAAGAAGGATTAGATACTTCCTTGCTTCTTGTTTTAAGAGATGCGAGACTTTTAAAATACGATGAATCCATTCTTGGAGCTATAGAAACAAGTCTTTGTAGTGGACCAATTCATTTTGATAGTCATCCTGGTATTACCGTTTCTCTCAAAGACAAAAATATTTTAAAATCTCTCACCCTCCAAATAAAGACCCATAATTATTCTATAGCTGAAGGTTCTATTCCCATAGCTCTCATCTATAGAGTTTATTACAAAGTAATGAATTCTGATTTCGGTAGCAAAGCTTTTAAATTAAATTCCAATAGGGAAACCCTTCTTTTACAAACAGATATTTCTAAAGCAAATGTTACCATTCCTAGGACCATTCCTTGGAATCAAATAACCCTTCCTGATCAATGGGAATTAGAAAACCGAATTCCCCAACAAATCATTCAAAATTCTGTTCCTACCAATATTATTCAAGATCATGAAAGAAGAGTAACTATTCAATTTTCCAAAAGATCAGTTGATATTCTTAGGAGGTCTTGTGACATTAGATCAATTCCTTCTAGGCATTCCACTTCTTCTCGAAGATCAGTAGACACTATTCCTAATATCCCTTTGAATAATCCTGAGGAAGCAATTGTAAGTGCTCCTCCTCTTCCAAACATCAGTGGTATTGATAGTAGGTCAGGAATTTCCAGACCAGTCTACCAGCATACTCTTGATTTCCCTGATCCGACTCCTTCTGAAATGGAAGATCCTAAAATCAATGTTTTGGAATTAGTTTTTGAACCTGATAAAGTGCTTTTAAATAAGGAATTTAATTCTTTTGAAAATAAGCAAATCAGAGAATGGTTTTTTAAGGATTTTCAAAACCAAGCTTTCGACATCAAGAAAGAGTATTATGATTACATGTACCAACATGAAATCCAAGTATTCTTCTTTGATTGGTTTGAAAACAAGTTTCTAGAAGAAAAACAAATTTTTGTTTTGGATCAATTTTATAAGTGGAAATTAGACAATGGCTATGTCATTGAGTTTAATCATCCTCCTCTTAGAAAAATCAAAATTGAACATCGAGAAACTGAAATAATAGCTTCTCCTTTTAAGACTGCCTCTGAAATAGATGGCATAGGAATCAAAAAAATTGTTGAACAGAATAATTTTTCAAATCAACATTTACATACTACTGGAAAACAATTGGACCGGATAGAAATTTCTGTCCAAAATAGTTTTCCATCTTTTTCAATATCCACTTCAAAAAGAGATCTAAAACCCCCACTTTTTAAAAATTTTGAGATCCCAAAAAATCCCAGTCTTGAATTTGCTAAAGCACTAGAGGATAGAAAAAAACTCCTCAAAGGAAAAGCAGTTTTAGTCTCTAAAAATCCTATAATTTTGGATACTCCTTTAATACAAAATTTGAGTGTCAAAGACACTCCTGATCGCATTGAATCTTCCAATCAGATCAATCTTTTAGATAAATCCGATACTGAATCAGTTCCCGAAATAAATCGCATCACTTGGAAGGATCCCCAAAAATTATATTATTCTCGCACCACTCCTCCTGATATTCTTACAGAAGAAACCTTTTCTAAAGTCCAAAACAAATATTCTTCCGATGCTATCTATGAATGGAATATAGATGGTGCTTCTGAGCAAAACCTTATCAATATTTTAACCCAAATGGTTATGCTTGCAAATACCTATAAAACCATTCTAGATACTTCTGATCATTCCGTTGCATACCTTTTAATAGCCGGATTTACTGGCCAGCTCAAAGGATGGTGGGATAATTACCTGAATGAAGAACAGAGGTCTCGAATTTTAAATGCTTATAAACTTGACCCTTTTGGCCAAAATATTCTTGATGAAGATGACCAACCCATCCAAGATGCAGTCAATACTTTTATTTTCTCCATATCTCAGCATTTTCTAGGAGATTCTTCTCATATTCTTGATAAGAACCAAGACCTTTTATCAAATATGAAATGTAGATCCCTAGGAGAATTTAGGGAATACAAAGAAATATTTTTACAAAGAGTCTTCCAAAGAACAGATTGCAACCAATCTTTTTGGTAAGAAAAATTTCTTGCTGGATTACCAAAACTCATAGGAGAACAAGTTCGCAGTAGGATAACAGAAGAATATGGAAATCAAATTCCATATGACCATCTTTCTTATGGTGAATTAATCTCTTATGTTTATAAAATTGGAACACAATTGTGTACCAATATTCGTCTTCAAAAACAAATAAAAAAGGAACAAAAACTTTCTAAAAAAGGATTAGGAGATTTTTGTGCCCAATATGATCCATCTTTTGAATCCTTTGAAAAATCCAAATGTTTAGGAAAATGCTCTTCTAAACAAAAAATCAAAGGAAATTTTATAAAAAACCTTATAAGAAAAAATTCGATAAAAAGTTTTCTAAAAAGAAAGAAAATGACAGTTTTGATAAAACCAAAAAATCCAAAAGGAATTTTAAAAACATCACTTGTTATAACTATGGCAAGAAGGGCCACACTTCTCGATTTTGTAAAATCAGCAAAAAGATCAATGAGTTAGATTTGGATGAACAAACTATTAATCAGCTCAATCAATTAATTGCTGAGACTGATAGTAGTTCTTCTGATGAATCTAGTTTTGAAAAAGGATTACAAATTTGTGATTTAGAAACCTTTTCACCATCAACTTCAGATAGTGAAGATGAAGATGGTACCAATTTTGAAATAAATGTTTTGACAAAAGAAGAAGAAATTCTTTTGCAAACGATTGATCAGATCACTGATCCTGAAACAAAAATTAAATATTTAAATAATTTCCAAAACCCCAAGCCAGTTTCTAAATCTACTTTCCAAACTGACAATCTTTATAATATTTCTACTATTCTTGGCAAGGCTAAGAAAGCAAGTTTCAAACCCATTTCTATAAGTGATCTTACCCACGAAATCAATAAACAAAAAGAAGAAATACAAAATCTTAAAGCTGTTCAGATAATTATGCAAAAAGACATTTTGGATATCAAAATGAAAAATCTAAAAGGAAAACAAAAAGAAGAAAATTCTGAAGAAAATAATATTCCTCAACTCCCTTCTTCTTCTGACACAAACTTCCTCTTAATGCTTTCTGAAATAACCACCGGGAAATGGATCATCAATATTTCTATAAAAATCCAAAATGAAATTGTTTTAGAAACAACAGCCCTTTTTGATACTGGTGCAGACCTTAATTGTATAAAGGAAGGTCTTATACCAACCAAATATTTTGAAAAAACTTCCCAGTCTCTCAAATCAGCATCTGGGGACAAGCTGATTATAAATTACAAAATTTCTGAAGCCAAAATTGTGAAAGACCAAATCTCTTTGAAAACCCCTTTTCTTCTTGTTAAAAATATCAAAAAAAATATTATTTTGGGATCACCTTTTATCAATTTACTCCAGCCTTTTAAAGTTTCTGAAAAAGGAATTAAAACTGAAACCTTAGGCAAAAGAATTTGCTTTGATTTCGTTTCAAAACCCCAAACCAGGAATTTGAATATTCTTCAAGATCATTCTATCTCTGAAATAAATTGCATTATTCAAGATAAAGAATCCCACCTTCAATTTCTTAAGGAAGATCTTGAATACAAGAAGATAGACAAAAGTCTCTCTGAAGCAAGTCTTCAGAAAAAAAATTTCAATCTTGAAAATCAAATCAAAGATTCCATATGTTCTAATATTCCCAATGCTTTCTGGTCTCGTAAGTGTCATATAGTTGATCTACCTTATGAACCGGGATTTTTGGAAAAAAACATTCCTACTAAAGCTAGGCCTTCCCAAATGAACCACGAAGTTCTAAATTTCTGTCAAACAGAAATTCAAGAACTTCTTGAGAAGAAGCTTATTAGGAAAAGCCAATCGCCTTGGAGCTGCTCTGCTTTCTATGTCAACAAAAATGCTGAACTAGAAAGAGGAGTCCCGAGATTGGTAATAAATTATAAACCTTTAAATACAGCCTTAAAATGGATAAGATATCCGATTCCTAATAAGAAAGATTTGTTGAATAGGTTTCACGATGCAAAAATCTTTTCAAAGTTCGATATGAAATCAAGGTTCTGGCAAATTCAAATTAGCGATAAGGATAGGTACAAAACAGCTTTTACCGTTCCTTTTGGCCAATATGAATGGAATGTCATGCCTTTTGGATTGAAAAATGCCCCTTCTAAATTCCAAAGGATTATGAATGATATCTTTAATCATTGTTCTGATTACATTATAGTTTACATAGATGATGTTTTAATATTTTCTACATCCATAGAAAAACATTTTAAACACATCAATCATTTTATCAATATTTTAAAGAAAAATGGTTTAGTAGTTTCACCTACTAAAATATCTCTTTTCAAAACAAAAATTTGCTTTCTAGGACATTACATTCATCAAGGAACCATCATACCCATTGAAAGATCAATAATATTTTCTGAAAAATTTCATGATGAAATCAGAGACAAAACCCAATTGCAAAGATTTCTAGGAAGTTTAAATTACATTATTGAATTCTTTCCTCGAATCAATATAATTTGCAAACCACTCCATCAGAGGATCAAAAAAGATCATCCACCATGGACTCAAATTCATACTGATATTGTAAAACAGATCAAGCGAACTGTCAAGGAAATCCCTTGCTTACATCTCGCTAATCCTTCTGCTTTTAAAATTGTTGAAACTGACGCTTCTGATATTGGTTATGGAGGAATTCTTAAACAATCTAAAGACGACAAAGAACAAATTGTTCAGTTTGTCTCCAAGCACTGGAATGATTGTCAGAAGAATTACTCTACCATTAAAAAGGAAATTCTTGCTATTGTGCTTTCTATTTCTAAGTTTCAAGGAGATCTTTTGAATCAAAAGTTTTTACTAAGAATTGATTGCAAATCTGCAAAGGATGTTTTGCAAAAAGATGTTCAAAACATTGCATCCAAACAATTTTTTTCTAGATGGCAAGCAATATTATCAGTTTTTGATTTCGATATAGAATTTATAAATGGTTCTTCAAATTCTCTCCCAGATTTTCTCACGAGAGAATTTTTACAGGGAAAATGCCTCCCAAACCTCCCAACAAACCCACTAGGAGAGACAAAGGCAAAGAAATTGCTGAAACCTCTCCAGAACAAAAGCCCTTTGGAAAACTCACCAATATCAAGAGTTGGCTTCAAGCAACTCAACCATCCTTGAATATCACCATCATTTCTAACCAGGCCAAACAAGAGCCAGGTACACCTTTTGATATTTCAAAATTATCTCATAAAGAAGCATTACAACTTCTTCAACAGGCTTTCAATACTCAGCTCCAACCCTCCATGGCAGTGGTAAGCCCTGATCCTTCTCCCTTAACCACTCAAAAGGCAAAGGGAAAAACAATTTCTAGTGAGGTGGTCATTCAGTCGACACAAATAACCCCTCAAACAAACAAGTTTTTCCATAAAACAATTTTTCAAAATATCTGCAATGTTGAAAATGGCTTTTATAATGAAGATCCATACCTTTTTGCCAAAAATATGTTTTCTGAAAAATTTTATTATACTCCTCATGATACTTACAAAACAACCGAATTTTGTGAGAAAATTTTGGAAGAAACAAAATCTATTACTTTCAGACATTTCTCTGATAAAGGCCACATAAACTACTCCACGGCCAGGATTCACAGGGTCATTCACCCTTTTCAATGGAAACCTGATCCATTGACTTTGAAAAAATTCAATATCAAAATGACTGAATTCCTTCCATACAGAACATCCTTTTCATATTTTGACTATAAACAAGCTTGGTGGAATACCTTCTGGAGACAGAATGCCAACAATTCTCATGCTTGGCTATTCTTCTTCGAAAACTTTGATATTAAAGAAGTTCCATATTGGTTCATTCAGTGGTGGGAACATCTTGGTCCTACTGATGAAATCATCCATCCAAAAATCCAGCCTGGTTATGAAATATTTCTCAGCAAATTCATTCCCCTTCCATTTGAGAAAAATTTCCCCAAACTTTTGCTATTTTTCTATCACTTTGGAATATCTTGGGTTCTCGGTTGGCATTTTGACTACCGAAAATCTGCAGACACTAGCATTCCCATTTTAATAAGAAGATATAAAGTTAAGTGGTGGAACGGATTTAAATTCTTCAATAGGGTTACTGAACAAGCCGTTCACCAATGGCTCATTTCTAGAGGACTTGAGCCCATAAAGTCTGATGAAATGACTCCATTCCTACACGATAAAGGGTTTGTATTGTCCAAATTAGCATCTGCCAAATCGCATCAGCAATTAGCAGGAATGCTAAAACAGGCCTTTTCTCAAATAGAAGACTCCAGTTCTTCTCACTCTCATCACAGTGGTAATTCCAACGAGGATGATTGCTATGGCATCCCAGGAATAGCCCTCATTCGTTGGGCAAGTGTGAAAGAGAAGAAGAAGAAGAAGAAGAGCCTGAACCGGTGGAAGATCTCTCAAGATTCTCCTAGGTGAAAGGCGCCGAAAGACTCCTGCTATTTTCATAGCTCATCATAATTTCTAAGCCGAAAGGAGTTTGTCAGTCTTTTTGTTTTCCAAAGTTTCATAATTATGATCACTGTTCACTGTAACACTGTGCACTTACTACTATTTGCCACAGTACTACCTGTGAATTATTTTCTACAGGAACCCAGCCTGCTTATAAATCAGACTTCACCCCTCAAAGGTGGGGAACAACTCTCTTCGGAACAACTTTTCTCTCAAACTTCCACACATCCCAAAACCGCTCCAACTTCTCCAGATCTCTCCAAACCTTTTTGGAAGAAATAAGAGATCTTACATCTCATAACCATTCCATATTCCTTCCGTAACCAGTAAGTGCCATCTTCTCCTGGAGTTTCTATAACATCCCTGTAACACCTAGTGTTCCAAATCTTGTTCATGGTTTGAGAATACAAAGCTTTTAAATATTTTGCACTTACACTTCAATATTTACATTTCAGTTGTAATCTTTCAATACTATTATTGTAATCTTTCCATCTTGTTTGAATAACAGTTATCTCTTTTAATTTCTTTCTTACAATTACGTTTACATACCCCATAAAACGGCAGGTCGAACCACCTGTGGATGGTTTGTACTCTACTTTGAAGCAATTCTCTGCATTTGTTATATATCCTTATTTCTTTTTACTGTTTTGCCCTTTTTCATTCGTGCTTAGCGATACCACCTACATAATTGGTTTAGTAATATTACTTCTTGTTTTATATATTACTTTTTGGCTTCACATAATTTATAATGTTCGCCATTTTATTTAATTTCATTTATTTAATAGTATTCTGCGTAGAATTCTGTACTTTGATATTAGAATATATCTTCTCTGTAGCCAGATCTAGAAACATACCCGAAGTCCTTTATAAATTTTCTCAATATATTAAATATTTTGAATATTTAGAATAACGATTAAAAATTACATACGTCTTTGTTATTTTATTCTTTTTATTACAAATCCCCTAGATCCGGTTCTTAGATTTCATCCTCTATATAATATTTTCTCCATTTATAATCTCCAGATCCTAGGCTTTTGATGGTATCAGAGTCAAGGGTAGATAAAGATATTTTTTATAATTTCATTCGCAGTAAAAGAATATATATATATATATATATATATATATATGTTTTAATTGCAAAAACGGAAAAGCCTTGCCGACAGCAATTTCTTAAATCGTAGGATGGCCGATCCTTTTCGGGAAACGGGGGCCAACCCAATATCCGGAACATCAACGTGTCCATTCATTCATTACATAATATCTAAAGATCATTTAATTCTTGTGCTTTGGTGTCAATCACTGTCACTAGTCAACGTGTTTTGTCTTTTCTTTTATATCGGAAGAACCAGGGTCGAGCGGATCCCCGTTTTTAAAACCCGAAACTTACTTCAAATACTCTTAAACCGATCCTAGAGACGAGTGACTTCAGGATCTACCTGAAAACCGGCTAATTTTTTTTTTGTTTCATTTAAAATGCAAGTTAAAACAACAATGAAAATCCCCATCTGTCAATAATAACAATTCATAAAAGATGAACACATAAAACAAAATAATCAGCAAAAAGTTCAAAACACATAATATAAAAAATTAGGTTCTTTGGTTCCCAATCCAGTTCTTAGGACTTTCAGTTCCTCGTAGGAGCCAAACCGCACATTACAGGTTCTAAAATTTTGGCGCGGGAAACCATATCGATTCCCACTAGGACGTGGAATTGGATCGGTTCTCATGACTGGTTTGGTCGTGTTCCCGATTCTACTCAGAACTTATGCTCACCTCTAGTAAGAACAACATTTTGTGGATATTGCAGACAAGGATACGTGTTACATGAAAGCATAAAAGGGACAATTGGGTTGTGGATGTGTTTCACATTCCCTCTACTGCATTTGTGAATAAGACATTTTTAAGAAGCAGCAAAGCGAGGCTTGATAGAGAAATCACCTTCATTCATCTTTCAGCGTGTTCGCTCAAGTACAACTAAGTGGAATATACACCGAACACCTTGTATATACAATGCCTGTCACGTTCTCTGCTTTAGGATAACTACGTACATCAAGGAAGACCTCTGTAATTACATGTTCATCTTGCCCGTTGCTGCAACATTCAGTACTATGACTGCTGGAGATGGCAATGAATGGACTAAGCTCATATTCGAAAACCCACAGAGCTTCAGCTTGCCTGGCAGTTTGAATCTCGAGAATCGACGACGTTATAGTACAGGGAGGATTGCTTGCCGTCGAACTTGGAAATTACTTGATAAGCCGATAAACCGCAGTAACTTTGCCCAAGCCGAGCAATGCAGATGTCAATAATTTTCTTGAACATTGAATCGCCTTGGATGAGTGGCTGCTCAAGGAACTCTTCCAGCGGCATCCACTGAGTCACCATATCAACAAAAATTCTCCAATTAGATATTAACACTATTTTGAAGTCCAATAGAAATTCACTTGATAAACAAAATTTCGAGAAAGATAGCGAAAAACCCTGGTTGGTTGTTCCACAGTCAAGTAGGTACCCACCTTGGCTGCTTCAATCTCAAAATTATCAACAACGATCTGGGTCGATAGGGGTTTTAGCATGCAGATAAAGAACAAGTCTGACTTTTGAAAGGCCACATTGTGAACATGCCTGAAAAGAGAATCAGCTAAGAAAGAATGTCAGGCATCTCGATTGACGAGACAAAGCAGAAACAAGATATCCATTCAGCTTCAAGATTAATTTCAAGAGGACAATCCGTTTTTGTAATGGCGCTATGCAGTCTTATAAGGAAGGCTGACAGGTCATAGCCTGGTATAATCCTTATTTGAAGTTTCTCATTTGGTTCAATGTCAACTTTGACCAGTGAAGCACGATTATACCTGATTGTAGTTCTTAGGAATCTTAATGAACATAACTCCATAACTCATTCCTTCCTTACAAACATCGTTCAATGCCACGTGATATAAATCGAAAGTTTCACCGAGACAGTTTTTAGCACAATAGTTAGATCAGAAGCGAATGGGTAAGACACCAATACTATTACCTGAATGCTATCACTTCCATAAACTCTGTATCAATCTGCAGAGAGAAAGAACTTAACAATGATTAAACTAGAACTGATTTATTCAGAACTCTTTTGTACAGTTTCTTTTTCTTCTCTACATGGATTTTAAAAGAACACCTTTGCTTAGACAAGTCTTACCCCTGTTTCCTCCTTGACTTCTCTGACAGCACCAGCAAAAATCTCCTCCGACTGATGGGAAAAGATAAAACATACAGAATGAATAAGAAAAGCATGTTCTTACAAGCATCCACTAATTTTGACTTCAACATTACACGTGACACTCTTCAAATTTAAAGCTCTACCTCAAGAATAAATCCAGTCGGTAACTTCCAGAGGCCAAGGCATGTTGGAGGACAGTACTTCTCTTGCACTACGAGAACCTACAGCAAGCTTGTCTCTTTCTGTTATTGGTCTTGATTAGTAAAATTATATATTGACTCGTCTAGCTGATATAAGAACAATTAAATGCTCCCACAAAATTTATAAACTAAATCAATCAAACTCTTTGATACCATCATACCTTACCAGTACTTACTAAAACAATTTTCACATTGTGGCAACCTATATGTGGCTCTGTTACTTCGAAATCTCCATTTACTTTTCTAAGAGATGAGCTAATTCTCTTGGATTAGTGAGACACCTACATAGATTAGGTATAAAAGCCACTGGAGAAGGCGTTTCCCAATTTCAAGCAAATAAGACTAGTAGGTCACCTTGCACTTACAGCGAATTATCATGATAAGCAATCTCACCTCATTTTTGTCATTGACAACGAAACCTCCAACTCCTACTTGATGAGAAGCATTAGCAGGAAGCATGCAAGGTTCATCGGGAATCCAGTATGTCAGCATGACATACCCTCTTTCAGCATGATGGTATTGAAAACCTTCCTACATCATTGAATTTAATTGACTAACTTAACTTATGGATACTCGGCTCACTTTATGAGTTTTGTATTGATAGAAATTCTATATTCTTGTCTCAACCACCAACCAAAGAAAATAGCGTAGGTAACTAGTCACTTCATTTTTTAGTCCTCGGATAGTTGAGGACAAGAAGAGTACCTTAACAGCTATCGGAACAAACTCAGACAACTCTGATGGTAACTTAAGCCAAATTCCCTTCTTTCCCTGTAATTAATACAAAGAAGGAACATAAGTGTCGTTATTAAAATGAAGATATTGGTTGGAACAGAGAAATCCAAATGCCATTTGAAATGACATGATGTGGAATTTACTCGCATCAAATTACTAAGACAATTAAAAATTTACTAGCATTACAGATCAGTAGAATTTTGCCTCCATTTGATGTAACCATTAGCAGAAAAGATTAAATCAAGATAAAGTTTTTAAGATTGTAGGTCACGATATCCTTCTGTGAGACTAACACAGCTCGAGCACAATTGAATCACCTTGCTCCTAAGCTGCATGTGAAGTGTTAAATTCTTCTATATAACTCAGACTCCTCCAATGAAGCATCATATGTGTCTAGCGGTCATTTCACCAGATTAAGAACATACCTCTATTTTCCATCGACTAAGGGATAAACGAAGCATTGAGGCAAATAGATTTGCTTCGGCTGGTAATTTTTCTGGATCAACAAGAGCTCCCCCATACTCATCATCATAGGCATCAAGTACTCTCAACTCACAGGAATACGGACTAGAATTTGCAGGCTTTAGTCCGTTTATGTGAATTGAATAAGTTTCCGTAGAAAGTTTATCCTGAGCAACTGAACCTACAGCTCTGACCGACAGATGTGTATCCCTTGATGACCTTGAATAAGAAGCCTTAACTAAAGCACCTGAATACGAAAATTGCAAAGAGAAAATGATAAGCTGCAATCATGGCTAAGCCAACTCCTTTGTTACGAAAAGCATAGTTGGAACGAATTTCAAACTACAAACAAGAAGACGCTTAAGAAGGAATGCTGATCAGTAGTTCCTCGTATATCCGGAGCATACTAAGAAAAATGCATACTATTTCATTCACCAAATCATCATAAATATTCAACTAAACCAGCACAGATAAGAAATTTATTCCCACTCTAAGGTTCAAAAAGCGCAGATCCATATCCTCAAAGGATTTGTATATCCCATTCTTGCATCACTTCATCATGTCCATCCATGTCAGATAAGAAAAGATCGATAACTCATCATGAACTACTAAAATTTCACATATCCATGATTCCAGAAACCACACCAATGTAATCCCAAGTACATCCAGCAAAAAAAAGAAAAAAATTTCAATTCTTGAGGCAACATGAAAAGTTCATGAGCTAAGTTTCCAATCATTCCCCAATAAACTTATACTAAACGAGCATCATTTCATACAAATGCTTCCCACGGGCAAGAAAAGCATTACCTCCGCAACAAGAGGCCTGCAAGTTTGAGAATGAGCGTGAGCACAATCTTTTTCCCATGTGGCTAGCCTGTGATGCAAACAGAGACTTTGCGTCCAACAGTTTCAGCTCCATAATAACCAGCTCGCAAATGTCACCCCCACACGCCTCACTTTTTTGCTAAGTACCACCACCACCACCACCCGAAAACACCAATCTCACCTTAGATCTCTCCTTATATAGTAACTTTATTTCCAAAGAATCACGGGATTCTGCGAAAAATCTAGAAATCCCGGAACAAGATTGACAAACGGAACCAAGACAAGGGAGTCTTGGAAGCTACGCCAATCGGTATGAACTAGGAAGAAAACTGGATACCGCATTACCCAGTGAAAGAATCGCAGAGGACTCGCAGATGTGCACGCGTGTAAAAAGCTTTAAAAAAATCTGGGTGGTGCATTGATCACTATCACGGAGCAAAAGATTCATTTTTTTTTGTCGTGGGCGCTTCGACAGACGTGTGGTGCAAAATGGGTGGTGTCCGACGAGGACAAACAATGGTGGGGAACCAACAACGTCGTTTCCGCGGGGAAAAAACAGGAGGAGCGAAAGATCTCCCCGTTCTTCCCAATGCGCAGGTGAATCAAGAAACCGAAGGGAGTGAATGTGAACATCCTGAAATAAAACTAAAAGGTCGTCACGAGCAATGATTAGGAACATGGTTTTCAGTTTTCACTCTCGCTCTCATCTCAGTAACTTCTACCATGAGCAGCGAAAACCGCCATTAGGGGGACGAATCTAGGATTAGGATGAGGGTGAATGGACTAGATCGAAAATTGAGATAATGACGCAAATGATCTCTAATCTTTAGCTTAATGTGTAATGTGGTTTTTTAATTTTTAATTTTTTTTAATGTATTCCCTGAATTTTTTATACGTGTTCATGAAAATGTTCAATGTCATCATTCCATTAATTCAAATTCAGGAATAACATTGAATATGTATCAAAAGTCAATAAACCACATTGAATAAATTAAAAGTTCAGGCACCACATTACACATTTTGCTACAGTTCACGGATCACATTGAACAAATAAAAAGTTGGGGAACCATATTGTTAATTGGGACAAAGTTCAAAAACTATTTGTGTCATTTTCCCTTGAAAATTCGTATAAAGATAAGAACTCGAAATTAGAACTCTAAAACTGAATTAATATCCGCACAATAGATTTAGGAGTGATTGGACAACTTCCCTAGACAAAAGAAGATGTAAATTCTTATAATTTCCTAACGGATTAAGAAATCTTGAGAAAATAATGGGCCATATTTTTTCCGTCATCCCTTGATTGGCGAGAGTTTTTACGATCATACTTTTAATCAACCAGTTACAATTTATCGATATCGCCCACATGCAAACTAAGGATAAGTGATGTTCATGTCCAAAGCATCTGCAATTTTTATGCCGGGGAATATGACCCCAAAAACAAATTATCCTGCCCCTCCAATTTGCAGACAGTTTAGAAATTTTCGATAAAAATAAAATTCTCGTGCCGTGATATTATTATTATTATTATTATTATTATTATTATTATTATGGGATTATAAAATGCTGGTTTATGATGACTCGAGAGGAGAGAGTTGTTATTTCCTCAAAATATCGATAATCGATCAAATCCTATATTGACTACAAATTGTTTTTTCGTGGGAGATCGCTGCAAATTATTTTCTCGTGGACAGCAATTAAAGCACGTGATCTCGACCAATAAAAGAAAAAAAGGCACGTGATCAACGGGAACACGTGGACCGACAAAAAAAGGCGTGGGAACTCGAACCGAGCGACGGCGGTCCCCCATCGAGATTTGAAATACGGTTGGATCTTAACGGCGGATCGAAAGTTAGGTTCACCTGGAGCTGGTGCACCTAATCTTTTTTCTCTTTCCGCTCGATGTGTGTTTTTGAAGTTCCGTCGTTCACGGGAACGGACGGTCCTGTGCGACCGGACAAGCCCGGCGACGCGATAATTGGTAAACACGGCACAGGACGGACCCGACACGATTCAATTTCGATTCGATTTGAGTAGGTAGAAATCGATAATATTAATTGACATGTTTTTAATCCTTTTTATTTATGGAAATCGGTTCGAAAATTCAAGATCAGGAGCGAGCTAAATCTCAATACAAGCTCGACGGAGAATTATTACGGCCAGAAGCGCCCGATGTATGTCAATCCAGCTCCATTGGATGTCATTTTCAGTAGCAATTTCCGGAAATCATTCCCTTTCGTCGTGCTTCTAGCCCAACATATAACTAAAAACTTCCGATCACCATCCATCTCCCAAGCTCGTCTTGAGTAATTTCACTCGAAAGAAAGAATGATCTTGAGTTTCATGTTTCAATTTACACAAAAAGACTGCAAGGATCAATCTATCAAAAGCGGGCAATCTATCGAAAGTCATCATCCAAGCTGCAAAAACTGAAATTTGGCACGTTAGGAGCAAACCAAACCAACCTAATCCGATCCACCTTAGGCCTCTTCTGAATCCCCAAGAGCGTTCCAAGCATCAAGAATGGGGAGAGAGGAGCCGTTCTAACATGTCAGTACAAGATCACCTTATCTTTAGCCAAAGGATTAGGAAGAATAGAACTGTCACATGAGGCAACCCGAACAGATTCCGAGTGATCAGATCTGGCCGAATGCCGATACCGATCAGAGGCTCCGATCATAGATAAATATAAGCAATCCTCTGCCTTAAGAAGAGGCCTGTCTTTCAGTGTTTTCTTCTATACACAAGAGCAGTTGCTGCTAGCTGCAATGGGGAAGCTTGGCTAATTAAAGCTATGGATCAAGACGACTGTGGAATCTTATTGAGTTGAAAAATTTTGGGCCTTGAGTTGTTTCAAAGCCCTCAAAATTTTATTGGGGCCTATATTAGGCAACCTCCCTCCTAACCCACTTTTCCAAATTTTATATTGGCACTGCAGCATTTTAACTGTCAAGTGCCATACATTTGATTGACCCACTTTTTCTATGGCTAATCAGTTGGTCATTTTCTTTTGATGGTGACCATTCCACAAAATTGAAGTTAGCCTCGGACTTGCTCTCTCGTTACCCATCCAAAGAGCTAAATCGCAAGGTGAAACGATATTCGATCTTGCGTAAAAGGCTCAATTTTACTTCGCGAAAAGGAAAGTTTGAGGTTGTCAACTGTATGAACCCCGGTATATCAATTTAGCATATCAATTTAGCACATTGATTAAAAATCCACAATCTTGTGATGAATTTTCATTATGGTGTTTTCTTTAATCAATCCTCTTTCATCGATTAAAGTTGATCATCCATTTTCATACATCCCTTCATGGTATATCTCAAACTTTATTAATCTCAAATGTAATTAAGTTGGCAGGATCAATAACTTGACCATCCTACCTTCCAGGGAAACATTATACTCTACTGTATATTGTGTACGTATAGTTACTACATGAACATTGTAAATAGTCATTTGATCTCCTTATACATCGATAATCATGAGTTAGGTCTTTTGTTATCATACGTAGTCAATGGTCATACAGTAACATGTGGCAGCCATGTTATGAGATTCGTGTATGACTTTTAGCGGCTCAAATGGTCAGATACACGTGCTTCTTACAGCCAAAAACGATGTCCATTTCGAGGAATTAATTAACATTGAACATGTATGCAGTCCAACAACGATATTTGGACGATAATTTGAAATAATGATACATGACAGGATGACCGGAAAAACAACGCTTTCGCCGACGTACGTCATCCCATGCAGAACGAGAACGGCAAATTGACTTTGACTGGTTAAAGTGATCATGTCTCGGAGTCTGAAAATGAATAAACTACTTCATCGAGAACCCGTATTTTCAAATTGTCAACGTCGATATTACGTCGTAAATGAAATTTGATGGCTGGAGGTGATATCGGTGTAGGTTTTTACTCTTTATGTCGTTTCGAGGGAAAAGTGGCAAAAAAGTCCTAAATCTTTTGCATGGATACCAATTTAGTCCTAAACCTTTTTTTTATGCCAATTCAGTTCTAAACCTTTTGCATTTGTGTCAATTCAGTCCTAAACCTTTTTATGGTGCCAATTCAGTCCTAAACTTTTTTGTATTTATGCTAATTCAGTCCTAAACCTTTTGTTTTCGTGCCAATTCAGTCCTTCCGATCAATTTTGGCTGGATTTTGCTGACGTGGACGCCGATTGGCCGGCGGCCGGTTGGGCCTCGCCCAACCATGGCGAGGCTTGCCTTCGCCGTCGCTGGCAAGGACAAGCCTCGCTAGTGGTCGGCGAGGGGGAGCCTCGCCGGCCCCGGCCTTTGGCCTCTTGCTAGTCGCCGGTCCGGCGACCGGCTGGAGGAAGGAGGAAAGGGAGGAGAAAAAAGAAAAGAAAAGAAAAAAATAAAAAGAAAAAATTCAAAAAAATATTGAAATATTATTAAAGTTGTCTACGTCAGTGCCGGTGACCGGCCGGCCTCCACGTCAGTAAAATCCGATCAAAATTGGTCGAAAGGACTGAATTAGCACAAATACAAAAAGTTTATGACTGAATTGGCACCAATACAAAAAGTTTAGGACTGAATTGGCACAAAAAAAAATTTAGGACTAAATTGACATCAATGCAAAAGGTTTGGGACTGAATTAGCACAAAAAAAATTTAAGACTAAATTGACACCAATGCAAAAAGTTTATGACTTTTTTGCCACTTTTCCCGTAGTTTCGATTTAAGATCATTTCAGACTTGTTCACACGTTGTTTGCGTTGGCTTGGAAGAGATCAAAGTGGCCACGGGTCGTGTGAATTCTTCAACAAAATGGAAATTATAGTAATATATTATATGCTATAGGCCTATTATAAGGAAAAAAGATCGAGAGCCCTTGATTAAAGAAAGGTTTTCGGTTTGAAAATTACGGAAGAATCCAAAAGGTTAGATTACCTTTCGTCAGCCAGAAGACAACAATAAACATTCGTGGTCCAAAAGTCATACATTGCTGCTTGTAAAGAATTCACGTATACCCTTGCAACCTAAGGTACGTGTTCGATTCTAGGTCTTTCGCGTGGAATAATTAAGTCTGTTAAATAATTAAGGTCGTGAAGACTAGCTCTCTCATTTCTTTGACTATCTCTCCCATGTTGGACACATACAATTAATGCAACCCTCGTACGTGTGACTTTGACCTAGTTCATCTCGTTAAAGAATCTTTCTTGCATTCTCTATCCATTGGCAAGCCTAGAAACAAGTAAAGCAAGAAACAATTTATAATAGAAATCACTCCTTTAGCTGGTTTTTACATCATTGCTATCAAGCAAATAGACAAGAATTCACTTCATCATGTGTGCCTTCAATGGTGTATAATCTAAGTTTGCATGTCCAGTTTCATACGATCTATGTATAAGATAAGAAAGAAAGAAACCTTCGTAAAGCAAATAGATTATCAGAAATGAACCTCTTTCGATTTGTGGAATAGTTAAACCAGACAAATCAAACTCCAAAACCCTATTCAACTTTTAGAATTGTAGACCAGTATTGCAGGAGTTTTACTTCATGAAGCAATACTAGTGCATGCATCCAAGCGATGTAAAAGTAAAGCCAAGTCGAAAAGAGACCGGACCCTTCGCATGGACCTTCGTGGTTGGCTTTGAATTTTCTCACATGCACACAACGACATTAGTGGACCATCCATATGGTAACAACGGAGTCAATCTTTTGATTTATCAAGGCACGACGACATTCAAACCATACATACATCTTTTGAGTCAAACATAATCACTTGGGTAAAGAAACAATTAAGCATAACTTTCACGTCGTCTGAAATTCCTTGAGACGATTGTTAAGAGTAGCTTGAATTTGTTTCTTCATTGGGTTAAGAGAGGAAGTGATTTTTTTTTAGTGTTCTCTTGCCTAGATTTGTTCTACGGGTCGGACTGATCGAGCAAATCTTCCTTATTTAAGTAGACAATGCATTGATTTATGTCAGGAAGTATTAAGTTCGCATGTTTCAACTTTAGTATTTATGATATGTTTATGTATGATATATATTTAGTGACGCGTATGATTGAGCGTAATACAAGAGGTAAAGATATATTCACAAAAGGTGGTAAAAATGGAAATTAATCTATATTTATCTCTGTCATCCAACGTCGCGTTGCCTTTCCATAATGCGAAGACTACATCTAGTATATTCTGTCCCCTGCCTTTCTCAACATCTAGTATTGTTACCTCTGCTTCATTGATAATAGAGGCTGTTCTTAATACTTTAATTTCTTTTGATTTAAAAGGTTTTCAAGCATGTTGAATGTCGATTTGGTCAACACATTAAGCTAACCCGAACCGGATAAACCTCCCTATTTGTTTGATTTTGATCACATTCGATATTGCAAATTATTTGGTTAAAAGTTGAGGCTTCTTTTTATGTGTTTAATTATAAAAGCTTCACATTAACAAAACCAATTTATTGATAAAACCAGAATTTACCATTTGGTTGAATTTGGTTCAATCCAGATAATCGATCTTTCCATATTTCCCGAATGTTTCGATCAATCGGTCACACCTTCATTTCAGCCAAAAGATTGTCATTTGCCATGCATTACATGCGCCTGGAAGTGATAATTCATTTCAACAATCATCTTCTCAACTCCTAACCCTTACATCGCCAAACTATGCACATCGTTTCTCCAAAAAAAGGAAAGCGGAAAAACAGAGACACTTCTCATTTGACCATGAGCTGGGGAAACCCTAACGTCGGAATCGGAGATAACGGCGACAGCAGAGGAACGTTGAAGATCCCCGTCGCAGCATCACAGTCCCAGGTCCTCGTCCAACTAGACGGCGTCAAAGGAATGTCCCTACATTTGCCTGCATCTGACTCCACCACCTTCTCCTTCTTCACCATGACCTCGCTCTCGTCCTCCTCACGGCGTCGTTTCTTGCCATCGGCCGGGGACGCTGGCGGCTCGGGCTTGCCGGCATCGAGAGGGAAGTTGAGGATCGCCTTCGAGCCGCGGAGATTGAAGGCGGCCCGGTCGTAGGCCTTTGCGGCTTCGATTGAGGTGTCGAAGGTGCCGAGCCATACTCGCGAGCCCTTCCGGTTCGGGTCTCTGATCTCCGCCGCGAACCTCCCCCACGGCCTCCGCCGGACTCCTCTATAGTGCCTCTGTTCGTCGGTTGCTTGATTCGAACCTTTTTGAACAGTCTGATTCGGCTCGGCAAACCGCAGCAACTCAACTTTGCTAGGCAGCGCGATCTTCAGCGACGGTTTCTTGCTCAATTGCGAGGTTTTCGAGGCCATTTCACTGAATATTACCGGTTTCTCTTCGAACTCGAAGAACCATTCAGTTTCAGAGCTCATCGATGAGCTCGAATTCACTGCCATCGGAGGGATTAGGTCTAGATTTTGAGGTTTCGGTTCGAAACTGAAGCTCTCGCTCCGGTTTTGCTCGAAGGAGATCGAGCTGACGTCGAACTCGAAGAGGTCTTCATTTGGGAGGCAACCGAAGCCGGAGAAGGAGACGGAGGAGAGAGATTCGGAGCGAGAGAGTTCGATTGCAGGTTCGAAAGCGATGGGGTAGGAGGATTGGGTGGTGACGGCGGCGGCGGTGGTGAGATGAGCCGGGAAGGCGGCTCCCATCGGAGAGAACTCGCCGAGGAGGTGTTGCTCGATGAGCTGAAGCCTCGTGGACACTTCAGTGCTCGACGATGTCGCCATTTCCGGAGGAGCTCGGGTAGATTGAGCTTTGAGCGAATGGCTGCGAGAGGGAGAGAAGAGAGGGATTGTGGCTGTTGGATGAGAGAGGAAGAGAGTATGAAAATGAGTATTTATAGACAGACAGAGAGAGAGAGAGAGTGAGGGGGGTTGAATTCAAACTTTGGAGGAGCTTTCGTTGAGTGGTTCCTCCGCTTCTCCTCCTCCTCCTCCTTCCTCTCTCCTTCTTATCCTCTCTCTTTGATCGTGATGTAGTCTTGCCGTTGGATCAACTCGTCTGTTTGAAAGTCAAAGGGCCCTCAACGGCGAAGATCGTTTTGCAGTCAACGTTGGCCCCCAGGTTTTTTTGTCCCGTACTGTACATTTATGGAAAGAAAGATTGCGGTCACTTTTTTCTGCCTCAAGTTGATACTTTGGAGTCTAGTAGAACAGTCTACGATCCATTCATCCATTGGCAAGCCTAGAACAGTTTACGACCACATATTATTTTTCCACTTATCCAGGAAGAAAAAGAAATGAAGACCTTATAGCTGGATTTTACACCATTTGCTTACAATCTCAACCCCGAGCCCAAAAACAAATTGCATAAACAGATGCTTTACAAAAGGTTTGTCCAGACTAACATGGTTAAGCGGAGTCAATCATAACAAGCAAATAGACCAAAGAAATCACATCATCGTGTGTGTCTTCGATGTTGTAGATGTGTGTCTTCGATGCCGTGGTAAGAGAAGTGGTCATGCATGGTGACCTCGGCAACGAATGCCTAGAAGTGACCTACGAATGCCTAGAAGTGACCTTGTAGCTCAAAAAATTACATTGAAAAGTCAATAGAAATAAGATACGTTTGTTTCACCAAAAACTTCATAATAAAAAAAATATATTTTTCAAGGGAAATAAGTGCAAGGAAAATTGTCAGTTTTCATTTGTTTTATGGTTTAGGGAAAGTGATTTTCTTCTTGCCAGAAGATGAAGTTGTTTTTCCCCAATCTAACATAGTTATTTTCAGTCCATGGAAAACATTTTCGGTATATTGATTAGTTTTTCGTCGTCCAAACACTGGAAAGTCGGAAAACAATTTCCCGAAAACAGTTTTCTTTCAAGCAAACGGACCAATAGTAGATCATTGCAATACGAGTTCAAGCATTCTCGGAGGCAAGGTTGCAAAAAAAATAACATACATGCATGTATCTAAGAAAGGGAAATATCTGTATAAACTCTAAATCCGTATTTGTATATGAGCAATCAAACTGTATGACCATGACTTTGGAGGCTTCAAAGATTACAAGTTGTGATCATGAGGTGACAACACAACTACCATGGGCCTCCATTTAATGAGACGCCATCAATAGAGGAACCTACTTTGAATTAGTATTATACACTTTATTCCGCACATGCATAGTAGGAAAATAAAAAAAGGATTACGAAAGAGAGACTCGAATCACATCCAGATCTCACTTGTCGACATACATTCAAACATGGAACGCTCAACAATTTTCATTGTTGAGAACATATAGGTTTATTGTTTATAATCTGCAGTCTAGGTATTATACGTGCTTTCAATTAATTCCATATCATTGAACACACATGCCGCTCATCCAGATTCATTATTTTGTAAGAGTCCAATTTGATACGAACCGTGGATACGATAAAAAGAAACTTCTTAAATTAGATAGATTATCAGAAACGGACTTCTTTAGATTTGTTGAATAGTAGAACCCAACAAATCAAACTCCAAAACCCTATTCAGCTTTTACAATTGTAGACTAGTATTGCTGGAGTTATACTTTATGAAGCAATACTCGTGAATGTGTATGTACAAGCGATGTAAACCAAGTCGAAAAGAGAGCGATTTGAGTCCGGAACATTTGCGTGGACCTTCGTGGGTGTCATTGAATTTTCACATGCATGAACCAATTCTAGTGAACCATCGGTATGATCACAAGAAAGTCAATCCTTTGATTATCAAGGTATAATGACAGTCAAACCACATATACATCATTTGAGTCAACATAATCATTTGGATAAAGAGGAAGTAAGCATAGCTTCCACCTCGTCTTAAGTTCCTTGAGATGATTATTGAGAGTCCGTTTGTCTCGCAGAAAATTCACATTTTGAAAATTATTTTCTTAAAAATGATGGCTTATATTACTTACAAAAATGAATAAAGGAAAAATATTTTCATACCACGAAAGTGTTTATGTATGAATTGTTGTCGATGATGAAAAATATTTTTCAAATCGTTCATCTTCCACGAAATAAATGGATGTTAAGAATAGTGAGCTTGATCAACAAAACCATAATGTCTTAAATGGTCATTTGTATGTTCTTCTGTACATCCTTTTTCTTTTTTTTGCCAGAAAAAAAAAAGGGGAGATGCTCAGAAGAACATCCTTTATACGCCTAGATTTGTTCCACGGAAGGGACTGATCCAGCAAGTCTTTTTTACTTCCCTTACCTTCGCCTAGATTTGGCATGTTTCAACTTTAGTAACTATATGCATGAGGAAAGCCTGTGATATATTTACGTATGATATGTTTAGGGACTCGTATTACTAAGAGTAATACTAGGGGTAAAGAAATATTCACAAAAGCTGATAAATAAAAGTTTGTGTATATTTGTCGTTGCGATACGCCGTCGCCGTGGCCTTTCCATAACGGGAAAACTACCATATTCGGTTGGATTTAGTTCGACCCCGATAATCAATTTTCTATTTTTCTCGAGTGTTTCAATCAATTAGACACCTTAATTTAAGCCAAAAAATTGTCATTTCCCATGCATTACGTACACGACAAAGTGATCATTCATCTCAATAACCATCTTCTGAGCACCTATTCCTAACATCACCAAACTATGCACATCGTCTCTCCCAAAGACAGAAGGCAAAAAGACAAAGACACTTCTCACGTGACCATCAGCCGCGGAAACCCCAACGTCGGAATCGGAGATAACGGCGGCAGCAGAGGAACGTCGAAGATCCCCGTCGCGACATCACAGTCCCAAGTACCCGACCAACTAGACGGCGTCAAAGGAACGTCCCTACCCTTGCCTGCATCTGACTCCACCACCTTCTCCTTCTTCACCATGACCTTGCTCTCCTCCTCCTCACGGCATCGTTTCTTGCCATCGGCCGGGGCCGCTGCCGGCGGCTGCTGCTTGGTCTTGCCGGCCTCGAGAGGGAAGTTGAGGATCGCCTTCGAGCCGCGGAGCGTGAAGGCGGCCCGGTCGTAGGCCTTCGCGGCTTCGATCGCGGTGTCGAAGGTGCCGAGCCAGACGCGCGTGCCCTTCCGGTTCGGGTCTCGGATCTCCGCCGCGAACTTCCCCCACGGCCGCCGCCGGACTCCTCTATAGTGCCTCTGCTCGTCGCGCACTTGATTTGAACCTTGTTGAACCGTCTGATTCGGCTCGGCGAATCGCAGCAACTCGACTTTCCTCGGCAGCGCGATCTTCAGCGACGGCTTCTTGCTCGATTGCGAGGTTTTCGAGGCTGTTTCGCCAAATATTACCGGTTTCGCTTCAAACTCGAAGAACGACTCCGTTTCGGAGCTCATCGACGAGCTCGAATTCGCAGCCACCGGAGGGACTAAGTCGAGCTTTTGAGGTTTCGCTTCGAAAGCGAAGCTGTCGCTCTGGTTTTGCTCGAAGGCGAACGAGCTGACGTCAAACTCGAAGAGGTCTTCATTAGGGAGGCAACCGAAGCCGGAGAAGGAGACGGAGGAGAGAGATTCGGAGCAAGAGGGTTCGATAGCGGGTCCGAAAGCGATGGAGTATGAGGATGGGGCGGCGGCGGCGGCGGCGGCGAGATGAGCCGGGAAGGCGGCTCCCATCGGGGAGAACTCGCCGAGGAGATGTTGCTCGATGAGCTGAAGCTTCGTGGACACTTCGGTGCTCGACGAAGTCGCCATTTCCGAAGGAGCTCGGGTTAGAGAGAGAGAGAGAGAGAGAGAGGGAGAGGAGACAGAGAGATTGATTGTGGATGTTGGATGAGAGTGGAGGAGAGAGTGGAGGAGAGTGTTTATAGACAGAGAGAGAGAGAGAGAGAGAGGGAGAGAAAGGGGTTGAATTCATCAAACTTTGGAGGAGCTTTCGTTGAGTGGTTCCTCCGCTTCTCCTTCTCCTTCTACCTTCCTCTCTCCTTCTTATCCTCTCTCTCTCTGTGATCGTAATGCATTCTTGCCGTTGGATCAACTCGTTTGTTTGAAAGTCAAGGCGGGCATCAACGGCGACGATCGCTTTTTGCAGTAAAACTGTTCGCCCCAGGTTTTTGTCGTGTAGTTACTGTACATTTTTTCAGGAAAGAACAGTTGCGGTCATCTTTTCTTTCTGTAGTCGACGACGATTTAGGACCCTTTTTTTTACACTCCTTTTTGACGGTGTTAATGGGTTCACCAATTCAAAGCAATGCAAGTTGCATCGCCTGAGGGTTCCAATTTCTGATCTTAGAGGAAAATGATCACCGCGTAGTAAGAAATTAGAAATCGCTCACCCTTTATAGTAAGTCATCCGGGGATCGTTCGGGCAATTTAACGTGCTTGAAAATAATGAATGACGACGATATGTCAACCATGAATTTACTTAAAGCTAAATGCATTGGAAACCACCCAATTAATGTTGGAGCGGGTTAAGACGTCGGACGAGTTCACCCATTCCGGCATTCGAAAGATACATGAACATGTTGGCCTCTAGTATATGTAGTATGCACTTGGCAAGCATCAGTTGCCAACATTTTTTCACGTCGAGAAAGCTAAAGTGACAAATTTTGGTTATTTTAAGTTAGAAATGACTTTATTTGTAGGATCGAGTCAATCAGTTACAGAATATGGTTGTGTAACCAAGTTAAGTTATTCATACCCCATGTGAGAGGTAAAAAAGACACAAATTTCTCATGTAAAGACGCATGCGATATAAAAGATTATCATTAGATCCATCATCGGCATTAGAAAAATCTTCACGCATTCATTGTTGGACGAATGGCATGTGTTTTTTGGAGTCCATAACGTAATTGAATCTAGCGATGAATGTGTAGCTCGTTCTTTACACCGAAGGTGGACCTGATAAAAGTCTCGAAAAATGACGACAATCTATGGAGGTTCTAGAAATACTTGGTTATGAAAAGGTAAGAGATTGGCATGTGTGGAAGCCCGTACGCATACGTCAACGGTGGATGAAAGACAAGTCCCATGATGAAATGAAAGGGATAAGAAAGGAGAAGAAGTGGGTGCAATACCTGTATTGAAAGGGAAAGGTCCATGTGCGCGTGAACGAGAGATAAGGCAAAGGGCAATAGAATCCAAGATTTGGTCACGGATGCCGAGTTGTTTCATTAATTCATTCACAAGGCACGTAATCTCCTCTCGTGCAAGACTTTCTATCACTTCATCTATTTCTTCTAGAATACACACTCTCTCTCTCTTTCCCCCCTTATCATATGAACGTCCAAGCAAAGTTGCCAGACAACGTGTGTTTTTCTTAGAATACCCACCTCTCACAGGAGCACGAAATTCGGGAATTTCGCGTAAGGCTCGAGGGATTATAGTGCGTGATCCATTCGCTCGGGCCGAGCATAATTTTTGCAGGGGAGCGATGACCGTAAGAGTTTTCCTCTGACGTGGGCTACATTAATTGAGATTGTAATTTACTGTTTTACAGGGTTCCGTCTAATAAAATAAGATATAAAGATTCTAATTAGTCTAATATGGGACTGGATAGTGTGGGCCGAGTAAATTCGACCGGTGATGGGAGGGTTTGTGGCTAAAAACTCTATAAATAGTACTCAAGTCTCTCCTCTAACCGTGATGCACAAATAACTTTACATAAGGAGCAGTTAGAGAATGCAATGGTGAGGGACAGTCTCTTTGAGACAGTGATACAGAAGAGAATAGAGGGGATGCACTTGAGCCTATAATCGTCATTATTCCGCATTAAGAACGATGGATTTCAAATTATGTACACAAATCCTTTTTTCTCGATTACTGTGTTATAGGTCTCCAACTATATATGGATCTTGGGGGCCAATTTTCGTGGCTTACAATGACCCCCTGCTAGCTTTCCCACGATTTGTTTGTTGAAAACTGATGTGTTTACTCAAAATTAACATAATTGCCTCGGGTTCAGGCGGGCAACATGGGCATCGACAAGAATTAACTTATCGACTTCCAGAACACATCCCCCTTCCCCTCACCTTATAATTGTACATGCTCCCATAACAATAACACGTTTTGATTCAGTCATTTGCTTGTATAATATTTACTAATATCTTAAACATGTGAGCCGAGTTCGCGTGCCGAAAAAGAAGCACGATCAAAGTCAACTTTCCTTCGGGCAAAAGCACAAAAAACATTAAAAAAAAAAAAAACAACAACAACAACTCGGGTTTCTTGCTAAAGGTGGACGTTTCTCTTGGCAAAACAGAGAGAGAATGCGAGAACCCCTTTTGTCAAAATAGAAGATTTCAGGTATCTCTCATGGGAAACCTGCATTATTGTACTATTTATGGCTTTTGACTTGAGATGTCACGAAAGGGTCTTCGGTTGAATAACGAGAGCAGAACAAGCTGCGGTCCATTCATGCCGTTGTTATATAATAATGATTGTTGGGTCCATGGTCTCCGACGGTTCTCCTTTCCTTCTCTTCCAACATTAATTAATGCAATAGTGTCGGAGGTGAGTGCATGAATTGGTAAGCTGTCCGAAAGCATCTCGCCGTCTAATCTCTGTCCCACCACGGGAGCCGGAGAACGATGTGAAACGATTATCGATCAATCGAGTCGCGCAAAATGGAAGAATTGTCCAGAAAGCAATGAACCTGTCGTGTGTGACGATCAATTTAGCCTTAAACCTTTCAGTTGTGTCAGCTCGGTCCCAAACCTTTTGGCGACTTGCCAATTTAGTCCTAAACTATATGATAATTTGTCAATTTAGTCATAAACCTTTGAAAAATTTGCCAAGTCGATCATAAACCTATTATTTGGATAATTGGCTAAGAACTATATTGGCAAATCATCAAAAGATTTAAAACTAAATTGGCAAATTATCAAAAGGTGGAAGGTTTAAAACTAAATAGACACAATTGAAAGGTTTAAGACTAAATTGGCAGCCGTACAATAGGTTTACGATTTTTTGGATAATTTTTTCCCCACAAAAGCATTTGAAGCAAAGAGGTAACATTCGAGGAACGTATATGATTAGGAAATTGCACTCGTTGTTGGAGTTCAGCTAATATTATATAACCGATGCAAAAAGAAAATGAAAGGGCCAGACGCGACACATCGAATTTGTTTATTTTGCATGATGGTTACGATTTCATCTCTGGCGGACCCTTTTAGTCCCGTCCTGACTCGTCACCCCGAAAGAGCTCGAATGAATGGCCTACAATTTGACGGAAAAGGTAAACTTAGCGGGGGTACGTGGCTCGGAACGCCGTTCGTCTGTAGCAAGAAGATCGAAGAGAAGCATGGTCAATCATCCCGTTTTAATTTGTCAAAGCCCAACGTGTGACCAAGTTCTTCTTTTTGACTTCTCACCTGAATTAGCGCCTATAGCTAGGGCGAAAAGGTAGAAAATGACGAGGGAAAGTTGCGATTGCGGCGTCAAATTTTTCAGCATGTCCTACTCCAATGTAAAAGATTGTGCCGTCGAAATGTATCCGGTCAAATTACCAAACAAGCGTGAGTTGCAATGATCTTTACTCAATAAGATCAAAGCATCGTCCCAGATTTGATTTGTTGACTGTGTAAAATTATGCAGGAGAAACAGCTCAAAGAAAAAATTGCTTCAGTACCCATATTTAGGCTCGTCCTAACTGAAGTTTTAAGACAACTTGAGCATCTCGGATACACTAACAGCTTCCTAATATGCGCCGAATTCAAAGTCCCTCTCGCTCGTCGCCACCGCCAATTCCGTCACAAAAATTGGGCCCCAATATAAAGGAAGCCGATGGACCAAAACAGACCATACACATAATCCATAAGGTCCACTAGATAGAATGTCTGACAAGCTCATAGGTCATTACTATACAATTAACCCAGAAAGCTCATCGATTGAATGTCTAAAGAGGTCATTGATCATAAGTTTCCAATGCATAGAGTTTAAGTGAAGTTCATGACGCGTGGCAATGATAGTTCGAAAGATGAAAAGAAGTGGAAGTAGAGTCAGAAGGATCCATCAATCAAGGGGTAACTATAGCTAAAGGATCAGTAGCAGTTACAAAATATCTCTAGAGTAGAATGCAAGTCTAGAGACAGTTAGAGATATCTGCGAAGGAAGATCAAAATGGAATGTCCCATTAAAGATACATGGGGAATCAAAATAAAGTTTATGTGACACATATCTCAGCACACACTCAACAAAGAAAAGACATTGCAAATTAGGGCTGTACAACCGAACCGATTCTACCTAGAAATCATATCAGACCGCCTTGAAAATCGGTCTGGTTCCAAGTTCCTATCGGAACCAGTCCAATTCCCAATTCAAAGTGAAGAACCACCCAGGAACCATATAGAATTTGGAATCGGTTTCATAAAACCTAAAAATCCTAGTTTTCTTTTGGCATCTTTTTCTCTATCTCTCTCCTTTATCTCTGCTATCTCTAAACTCACTCAAACACTTCATGACTCTCTCTCTTGCTTGCAACTCACTCTTCTCCTCGCTTGCCCTCACTCGTTCTTGACTCGCCTTTTCTCGCTCGCCCTCATTTTATTTTGTTGCTCATATTATTTTGTTGTAAAAAATGAAACCAAAAAGAGGAACAAAAGAAAAACAAATTCTTGGGTAAACCCTGGCATCAGGCTGAAAAAAAGAGAGATAGATTACAGGGTTGGTTCCAGGGTAAATATGGTAAGTTCTAAGTTCCAAAAACTAAAAACTGATTCTAATAGGGTAGGTTCCAAGTTCCACGTATGGAATGTACCCACCTTGAAACCGATCACCCTTACTACGAACAAGAATCAAGAGACAAAAAAAAATCACGAGAAGCCCATAGTTTTAGGTGAAAGTCATTTAGATAAGAGTTTGTTCAAGTTTCGATTCAAATTCAACTAAGATTGGGTTTCCTAATTCTAGCACTTGTCTCTCATTGTAAAAACTTTCTAGTCCTGTCTTGTAAGTTTGTCACTTTCCCTACGCACTTCATTAATTTCCTTTAAGGGATTTATGTCCAATTTCAGCAATCGAGCATATATGACATCCAAGAATGTAAGTCCTATGTTTTGATTCGGTGCAATTTTCTTATTTGTTTTCAATTTATCGTTTGCTCATTGGTTTTTAGTAATACGAATTTTATAAAGTCATTGAGGTTTCAAGGCATATTAAATATGATTTACTTTTGATTTGAAGTCAAATTTTTTATACTTCAAATGATCAGAAATGGTGCAGAAAATAGGCCCAAAGGATGAAATTCCAGAGAAAATACCAAAAATATATCTCTCACCTTTCCCGGGGTACCCAAATACGTACCTCTACTTTTTGAAAATCTCAAATACATATCTAGGTTTTACTTTTGGAGATTACTTTGCACCTTCACGTCGATTATTCTCGGGTCCTTATTTGCAAAAGTGTCATTCTCTTTCCAATAGTGCCATCCCCAAATTCTAGATTCTCAAACTTACCAAAAGCACCCAAAATCAACTACACACCAAACCACGCAAATCCTAAGTAACATGTTTGTCAGGAGAGGCAATTTAATCTTTTCAATGTGGGATTTTGCTTGGAAGTTAAAGATACGTGAGTGGTCATTCGTTCAAAAGCATTTGCATATTTTTGTTACCTTTTCGTAATTCGATTATGTCATCAACCATAGATAAGAAGCACATTTAAAACCACCCCCCCCCCCCCCCCAAATGTTGGCATGACGAGTCTCGTGACCCCTCCGTCTCATTGTGCGCTGGTTCCTATTTTCGGCCCATCTTTTCGATTTCCGGTTACTTAGACATTTTAAAATTTCATTAGCAACAATGAAGCATGTTCAATTTCAAGAGCCCCTTTCACAAATTCTATGCCATCAACTAATCGATAAATAAGCAGGTCCATAACAAAAATGTTTTCTATGTACTCGCCCACCTCAAAGAATTAGAACTTCTAATGGAATTAGAAAAAAAAAAACAAAGTTCCATCGCAATTTCTAATCTGATTATACATGCACAACGAAATTCAACAAGTTTTCTCTAATTCTCCGCAAAATAAATCGAAGCTAGCCGCACTTATTTTCGATTTATTTGAGCTGTAATATATATAATTTGATAAATCAAGCCACGAGGAGATTGATAAGGAGATAAGATAATTTAAGAAATGCTTGAACATGATGTGACTATCCAAGCACAAACATGTTGCATTATTTGTATAAAGCTCATTAACTATAAAAAAAAAAAGCATGTTGCATTACTTTAATGGCTCGAACGAACCCAAATTGAACACTTGGGATCCATAAAACTCCCCCTAGTAAAATAAAATATAAATGGATATATTTCATTATGTCGGTTTGACAAAGAGGACCAGCACGTGGGAATAATCTGATTTTTTTTTTCCTCTTTTCTTTTTAAGCCGGCAAAAGAAAATAAGTTCTCGCGTGTGGGGTGTCCGCGCACGTGCGGCGACTTGTTCCTTGGGAACCGAGACTGTTCAAAGTCAAAGTCAGGTTTGACCGGGGGGTGGTCAGCTTTTCAAAGGGTTTTACTCGGCTGACGTGGCGCTTCCTCGGGAGATGTGCGTTCTAAATCGGACGGCAGTAAATCTGCTTTATATACTTTTCAGCTTCGCTTAATCCGATGCATATTATCGCTCTCCTAGTCTTTCAAAAAATATTTCGACCAAAAAATAAAAAACCTTTCAAATTTGGATTATTATTATGCTCATCACTGTACAATTTTTGAATTTTCTCTACGGCATCCCCTAAAGAGAATGAATAAGGATAAAGACATTTCCGTTGTATTATACACTTAAACCAGCTGATCGGATCGGTTAATTACATATATCGAGAAGCGACATCGCATTTTACCATTTCTACTTTTGAACTTGCAATGACTCGTGCGCGTAGTTTTCATGCATCCATTGCCGTTAATCGTGTTCATTTTGATTTTTATTAGTATTTGGGAAAGTTTAAAGCAGAAGTCGAGGGCCATAATGTATTCTAAAGGAAGAACTTCCCATTCGGAGATAGTTTATCTTCTTTTGGATCAAATGCTTGGTCTTGTGGCTTTTGGAGCTTCCAAATCAATATAATTTACTTATAATCATGTTCATTTTGATTCCATCAGCATTCGGTAAAGTTTAGACCACAAGTTGAGAGCCATAACTTCATTGTTTTTTTTGCCATACCTTCTATCTCGATTAGGTATGCCAACAAAATGTCCAATCTTCTATTGCGAAACTATGAATATTGAATAACCCATCAGGCGATTGGTGGCGGGCAAAACGACTCACCATTAATGAGAGTCAAAGGCGAGACTTCTATAACTGAATTGGACTTTTCTTTTTCCCCCAAATGCGGAGTTTTGAATTTACATGTGAGTTCATAGTTGAAATGACAGAAATAACCACAGCGTCCTTGCTCCGTGATCGATTTTCCTACGAAAACTCATTAGCATTTGTAGAAGTGTCATGTCAAACTATTTGAAAAAAGCGGTGGATCCATCGATTCACGTGCCTGAAATCGACGATCCAATCACAGCTTTTTTGGGTAGATTATACAGATGATGTTTAAGATCTCCAAATGAAAGCGAAATGGATGGAACTCGCTCTATCTTCTCTTTAAAGCTCAGTAAGGTTAAAGGCCACAATGGGAAGCCTCTCTTCAAAAGTGGAAATCTTGGAAACTGATTCGTGTCGCAAGTGGCACCATCCCCACCAACCAATCAAAGCAACTTTAATTTCGATCAAAGAGAAGCATCCACACGTCTTCGATGATGGCATTAATTAAAATACTAATGTAATGCTAGAAAGGGCCAAAATCTATCACCCTCTCCTTCCAAGAAAGGACATGAAAAAGGGAGGGAGTTTGCACGTCCCATGGAGTGGGCCGCCACCACATATCCTAATGGGGGAACTGACGTGGTGGGTGGGAGGCTTATCCGGAAGAGAAATCATAGAGAATGTGTCCAGTACCATTGTACCCATAAACAACCTAAAAAAGGGTTCAATACGTTACCTCTTGTGAATTATAGTCACGACGAAACTCGGGTTATCGAATGAATTTTCGCGGATGTCTATTGAATAAGATCGCTTTGCCGGGCATTGAGCTTTCGTCCTATCTAATAGCCATTTGAACGACGCGATGCGATTTCACTTGTCGAACTTTCTCCGTACCGTTTGATATGCCTAACATCGGACATTTCCTCGGCACTTCAGATCGCACCAAGAGATGAGATGTGTTCCATCGAATCGTTGATTTCCTTATCCTGATATCCTGAACATGTTCGTAGGGTATGAACTTGGAGGAAGTTGTTCCATGTGAAGCCTCTAATTTTCTAATGAAAAACTTGAATTTTCCTTCATTTGCAAGTGGGACGTATAGATGGACTTGAATTTGAGGCCGTGACAAATTGAGAAAATATTAAACAAAAGCAATTGAATGAGAAACGATTGACTGTCGACAAAGCACTGACGGGCAACTGGACAAAAGGCAGCTCGCAGATTCATGCTATGAAGGCAAAAGGAAATCGTCGTGCTGCTTTGTTTTAACCGAGTATATGTATATTTTAATATGTGAATAGGGCACGTTTCTATTTGCACCTAAAAGAGCCACTATCCACGCAGGGAACTTTCATGGAAACCGAGGGCTCCTCAGAAGAGTTTACTTCCAAAACGGGAATCGTCAAGACAAAATATCAATGTACATGAATCTCTCCCGCTATATAATACTCATCCTCTTCTTCATCCTCTAAGAATTCCCTTCCAAACTAACAACATTCTCTTCTCTCTCTCTCTCTCTCTCTCTCTCTCTCTCTCTCTCTCTCTCTCTCTCTCTCTCTCTCGCTTTCGAGATACAAGTGATTTAGCCTAAGAAATTGACGTACCCAAGATTGGATTTTGAGCAATTTAGCATCGGGAAATCGCGGTGGAAACATGTATGCACAGAGTTTCCAAGAGTCCGACCTGGCCCTCCTTGAATCCATAAGCAGGCACTTGTTACTCGACGACTCGGAGAGTCGACTCCTCCTGAGTTGTCCAAACGGAACTCAGCCGTGGAGCACAAGCCTCGGCGGTAACTTGTGCCCGTTTCTGGCCGAGAACTGGGGAGAGCTCCCTCTCCGGGAGGACGACCCGGACGATATGGTCCTCTACGGGCTCCTAAACGGGGCTGAATCGATCGGTTGGGCCCCGCTGGGCTTGCAGGAGGCCAGCCGGCCCGGCTTCGCAGCGGAGATTTCTGTGAAGCCGGAGCCGGAGTCCTTCCCGGCGGCGCCCTGGTTGACGGGGTGCGCCACGATTCCGCCGCCCGCGGCAGTCCCGGCGAGGGGGAAGCACTATAGGGGAGTGAGGCAGCGGCCGTGGGGGAAGTTCGCGGCGGAGATCCGTGACCCGGCGAAGAACGGGGCCCGGGTCTGGCTCGGGACTTACGAGACTGCGGAGGACGCGGCGCTGGCCTACGACCGAGCCGCCTACAGGATGCGCGGCTCGCGGGCCTTGCTCAATTTCCCGCTCCGGATCAATTCGGGCGAGCCCGAGCCGGTCAGGGTGACGTCGAAGCGATCTTCGCCAAAACGGCCATCTCCAGAGCCGTCGACTCCGTCGTCGTCGTCGTCACTGGACAACGGCTCCGGGAAGAGGAGAAAAAAGACGACGACGACGGGCTCCTCGGTGGCGGCTCCGGTGGCGGCACGAGTGGCGGCATTAGAGAATGGGGCGGAGGGGTTCCAAGTAGGACACCAAGTGGGAATGTCCACAAGTGGCGAGCAGCTATTAGTTGGCTTATGATTGACATCATCTTTGTGGCCACATCATGTGGCACCAATGTGGGTCAGGACAGAGAGAGAGAACCTTTGTGGAAATTCTTCTGTTTTTTTGTTTTCCATTTGGATGTGTTTTTTTCTGCCGAGGAGGATGTTTTGTGATAATGTGAACCAATTAAGAAACAAGTGAGAATGGAAAGGGCTTTTCCTGGAAACTTTGGGCTGGTCATTTCTGTTCCTTTTTTGGCAAGTAGGGTCTCGCGTATATCTTTTCATTGAAAGGAATGACGAGAAATTTCTATTGAATGATCCGGAGGCACTATGTGTGTCGCGGAGCAGAAGGAAGTGATCGACATGAGCCACATGGTTGTAACTCAGATGTTGCATTCGCACCATGAGGGATTCCTGGCACTCGTTCACTTTGGACAACAGGAGAATTACTGTATAGTCTCCAAAATATATTCCTCCTTCGCTCAATGGCGGCGCGCAGATTTGTGGGAGAAAAGGAGAGATTACTTCCGGAGCACGTAATGATTTCTCCCGTCGATATAGATGTGTGATGCTGACCTCGAATGAGGAATTAAAGGATGACTTCTATCTAATTAAAATCAAACGAGGGCCCTTCACTCAACCTTGGTATCGTTCAAGGGCATTCGCCCTACCCATTACCTTTTTTTTTTTGGGTAAGAGCCCTACCCATTACTTGAATCCATCAACAATGGGATAATTATAAAAAAAAAAAACCCTAAATTTAATTCGATCCGAAACGTTTGAATTGGGTCACCTTAATCCTAAATCTTTTGACGATTTATCAATATAATTCACTGACGTGAACGCCGACCGTTTTACGTGGAACAACCGGTGCCGACATAGATAATTCTGCATTTTTTAAAAAAAATTTAGAAGTTTTTTATAAATTTTGTATAAATGTGTGTTATATTTTTTTTCTTTCTTTTCCTTTTTGTTTTCAGGCGAAGGGACCCTCTCCTACCCATGGTTAGAAGACAAAAAAATAAAATCAAAAAAATTATAAAAAATTACAAAAATTATCCACATCAACCCCAGTCATCCACACCGGCCGTGTCACGTAGGATGGTCCATGTCCACGTTAGCAATTACAGGTTAAAATTAGCCAAAAGAACTATATTGGCAAATCGTCAAAAAGGTTTATGACTAAATTTATCAAATTAAAAGGTTTTGAATCGAATTAATTACGATAAATTGATGACTTTTTTGGATAATTTTCCCAGTCAACAATATACGCCCACATTAACATCATACTTAATTACAATGGGAAAATTACCAAAATAGTCATAAACCTATTACAATTGTGCCAATTCAGTCCTAAACCTTTTTTTTTGCCAATTCAGTCCTAAACCTTTTGCAATTGTGTCAATTCAGTCAATCCGGCCACTTTTGGCCGGCTGGCGCTGACATGGACGTCGGGCGGCTGACATGGCATTATTTTAATATATATATATTTTTATATTTTTCGAATTTTTTTTTATTTTTTCCTTTCTCCTTTTTTTTTTCTTTTCGGCCAGGGGGAGGCTCGCTGGCCATTGGGGAGGCTCGCCCTCGCCGGCACTGGCGAGGGCGAGCCTCGCCCAGCTCCAGCGAGCGAGGGCGGAGTTCGCCATGGCTAGGCGAGCTCGACCTCGCCAGATCTGGGTGAGGTCGAGCTCGCCCAGCCATGGCGAGCTGCCCTAGCCACCGCTGGGCGAGCTCGACCTCGCCCAGGTCTGGGCGAGCTCAAGCCTCGCCATGGCTGTGCGACGACGAGGCTCGCCCTCACCGGCACTAGCAAGGGTCAGCGAAGGCAAAGCTTGCCATGGCTGGGCGAGCTCTGCCCTCGTCGCCGCTGGACGAGCTCGACCTCACCCAGATCTGGCGAGGTTGAGCCTCGCCATGGCTGTGCGACGGCGATGGTAGAGCTCGAAATTTTTTTAATTTTTTTCCTTTCTCTATTTTTATTTTTTTGCCTTTCCTTCTTCCCCGGTGGCCAGACCGGCCAGGGGCTAGGGCCAGCTCACCGGCCACTGGGGAGGCTCGCCGTCGCCAACACTCGCGAGGGCGAGCCTCACCGTCGCTGGGCAAGGCGAGGCGAGGGCGGAGCTCGCCATGACTGGGCGAGCTTGACCTGGCCCACAGCCATGGTGAAGCTCGACCTCGCCAGATCTGGGCGAGGTCGAGCATGCCCAGCGGCGGCGAGGGCAGAGCTTGCCCAGCCATGGCGAGCTCCGCCTGCGCCGGCCCTCGCTGGAGCTGGGCGAGGCTCGCCCTCGCCAATGCCGACGAGGGCGAGCCTCCTCAGTGGCCGGCGAGGCCACCTCGCCGGCAAGCCTCCCCCTGGCCGGTTCGGCCAGGGGGAAGAAGGAAAGAAAAAAAAAAGAGAAAGGAAAAAAATCGAAAAAAATTAAAAAAAAAATTAAAAAAATGCCATGTCAGCCGCCCTAGTGCCGGATGGCGTCCATGTCAGCACCGGCCGGCCAAAAGTGGCCGGATGGACTGAATTGGCACAATTGCAAAAGGTTTAGAAATGAATTAGCCAAAAAAAGAGGTTTAGGACTGAATTAACACAATTGCAATAGATTTAGGACTTTTTTGGTAATTTTCCCTAATTACAACCTATTTGTACCCTAAATCTCGTCAAAGAAATCGGTATATGCGTCAAGCAAATGAAGGGGAAGCGATTATTCCACAACTATTACTTACATGCAAAGCCGACCACGAGGTTCACGATGCCCAACGGTGAATAGCTCAATCTGATAAGACGGTGAATAGCATCGTCCCCCTGGCGGCTCCATACAGATTCTTCGAACCATGATCGGTAGCTGCTGCTGCTCTCAAATCGTATAGAAAAGTCTTAACGGTAAAGCTCTGCATCGTCCGCTCTCTCTCTTCTCTGACCACGAAAGTTCTCAACTCGAGACTTTCTTCCGGTTTTGGTATTGATAATGTCAATGCGTGATCTTCATTTTCCAATCTTCAATTCAAAAGAGACGACCCCTTTCTCTCATATTCACAATATACCTTCTGTGAAGTTCTCAAGGAAACCAAGCATGTCAAGAAAAATCTCTCTGGAAAATATAATTTAACCTTGACATTCCACTTCCTCACAATCACCCATGTCGTCGAGGCCTTATCCGTTCATACTCTCGAAACGTGTTATGGTTTTTCAAACCCCTACACTATCGGTCATTTCTCTCCCTTTCCTTTCCGTATCATCTCATGAGCTAGTACCGGGGTTAGGTAATAGAAACCCTTAAGCATATAGCCAAATCATTTTATGCATCATGCAAAGTAACGATGTCATTCGAAACCGAGAAGTTGATGATGCATACCTTCCACATAATATGTACTGAACTCATCAAGCCATGGTGAAGCATCAAAAGGAAGCTGTCTCCTGTGCAAAGTAACAAACTTACAAGTTTCAGCCGCAAAACATCCATTTCACCACTTTTGGACACAGCAATACCAACTAAACCCAAAGATTCGTTCCTCTACCGATGGTTATTCAGGACAGATAACCAGCTAAGCCAGTTAATAGGCCTAAAAGTGAACAATCCACAAGTGACGGATTGCAGGCCCTCTAGTGAGTAGCAAGTTATTCTTATGGATGTTTTAACATGATACTATAAAAGGACCGACATCCTTTTGGGAAAGCGACGATCAGTATGTCAGCAGTGAGGGTAACTTGACGAGCTCCATTATAGACATCATATGCCTCAAACCTTCTTAGAAAGGGCTATGACGTTGAAGTTGAGTGAATCTGGATTTTTCTGGATCATTTCTTGGATGACTTTAGCCGCATCCTGTCATGCAATAAAATGGTTAGATAAAACTCCAATAGAATGGGTGATAATAGTAGATGACAAGTGCCACAAAAAAAAAAAAATAGAGACAATTACGCAAATGGTCCATGAACTTTTGTCTAGTGTGCAATGTCGCCTCTGAATTTTTAATTTGTTCAATGTGATCCATGAACTTTAGCTCAATGTGCAACGTCATCCCCGAACTTTTAATTTGTTCAAAGTGGTCCCTAAACTTTTGGTACATGTCCAATTTAGTCTCTGAATTATACAAAAATGTTTAATGTTATCCTTCCCTAAACTTAAATTAATGGAAGGACAACATTGAACATTTTCATATAGTTCAAGGACTAGATTGAACATATATCAAAGTTCATGAACCACATTGAATAAATTAAAAGTTCAGGGATGACATTGCACATTGAGCTAAAGTTTAGGGACCACATCGAACAAATTAAAAATTCAGGGACCACATTGAATAAATTAAAAGTTCAGGGCCGATATTGCACACTGAATCAAAGTTCATAGATCATTTGTGTCATTTTCTCAAATATTAGTTGGCTTATGATTGACATCTTTGTGGCCACATCATGTGGCATCAATGTGGGTCAGGACAGAGAGAGAACCTTTGTGGAAATTCTTTTGTTTTTTTGTTTCTTTTTGGATGTGTTTTTCTGCCGAGGAGGGTGTTTTGCAAGACACAAGTGGAGATGGAAAGAGAAAGGGCTTTTCCTAGAAATTTTTGGGCTGTTCATTTCTATTCCTATTGGCAAGTAAGGGCCGTTTGGTAACGTGCCAAATAGTGAAAATTTCTGTTCTTTTGTTCCCAGAAATAGTTTGGGAACAGAAATGCGTTTGGTAAACTTTTTGTTCCCGAGCACATTTTTGCAAATATTTGTGCCGAGAAACAGTTTTGGAAGAGAAACAAGAAGTAAAAAAAAGTTGCTTCTTGTTTCTCGCACAATTTTGAGAATCAGTTTTTTTCTTCTTTTTCTTTTTTTCTTTTCTTCTTTTTGTGTTGCTCTTCTTGGGTTGTGGCCGGTCGCGGCGACGGCGACGGCCACGGCCCAGGGCGCGAGGGCGTCACGGCCTCGCGGCCGCGCGGGCGAGGTCCCCTGCCGGCGGAGCGAGGGGACCCTCGCCCAGCGGCGGCGGCGGCTCGCGACGGCGAGGCTCAACCTTGCCGATGGGCGAGGCGAGCCTGCCATGCGACGGCAGCCGCCTCGCCCAGGCGGCGAGGGTCCAGCCCTCACCCTCGCCGACAGGGGGGACCCTCGCCTCCGCCGGCCCTGGGCTGTGGTCGGCCGCCGGTCGCCGGCGACCGGCCATGGCCTGGGTAGAAAGAAAAAAAAAATTAAACAATTCAAAATATTATTAAAATATTATTAATAAAAAAAAATTTGTGTGTAGTTACCAAACACATTTCTGTTCTTTTCCATTCTAGAAATAGAAATTTTGGACAGTTTACCAAACGCCTTCAAATGCACAGAAATTGTTTCCGGGCACAGAATAAAAAAAATCATTTCTGTTCAGAAATAGTTCCCGGGCACAGAATGGTATTCATGCGCACCCTAAGGGTCTCGCATGTAAGTGATCGATATGAGCCACATGGTTGTAGCTTAGATGTTGCATTCACACCATGAGGGTGCGAGATTTGGCATTACTAGAGCGCGACTCTGCGTTGCCTTGGCACTCATTCACTTTGGACAATAGGGAAAATTCACCGTATAGTCTCCAAAATGTATTCCTCCTTCGCTCAACGGCGGCGCGGACTCGTGCGAGGAAACGAGAGATTGCTTACGGAGTACGTAATGACTTCTCCGAACGATACAGATGTGTTGTGTCAACCTCGGTATCGTTCAAGGGCATTCGCCCTACCCATTACCATTTTGTTTCTGGTCAAAGCCCACCCCTTACTTGAATCCATCAACAATGGGATAATTATAAAAAAAATCCTAAATCTAATTCAATCCGAAACTTTTCAATTTAGTCACCTTAATCCTAAAATTTTTAATGATTGACTAATATAATTCGCTGACGTGGATGACGGTCGTTCTACGTGGAGCAGCCGGTGCCGACGTAGATAATTTTGCATTTGTTAAAAAAAATTTGGAAGTTTTTATAAATGTTGTATGATTGTGTATTATATTTATTTTTATTTCTTTTCCTTTTTGTTTTCACCGTGGACTGGCAAGGGGACCCTCGCCTGCCCATGGTTAGAAAAAAGGAAGACAAAAGATAAAAAATTATAAAAAATTACAAAAATTATCCACATCAACGCCGGTCGTGCCACGTAAGATGGTCTGTGTGCATATCGGCGATTACCAGCCAAAATTAGTCGGAAGAACTACATTGGCAAATCATTAAAAAGATTTAGGGCTAAATTAGCCAAATTGAAAATGTTTTGAATCGAATTAAGTAATATAGATTGAGGATTTTTTTGGATAATTTTCCCGATCAACAATATACACCCACTTTAACATCTCATTTAATTACAACCTATTTAATCAAATTTGTACTCTAAATCTCTTCAAAGAAATCGGTATATGTGTCGAGCAAATGAAGGGGAAGCGACTACTCCACAACTTTATTTATATGCAAAGCCGACCACGAGGTTCACGATGCCCAACGGACAAACAAAGCTCTGATCAGAAAGTGAATAGCATCATCCCCCTGTCGGCTCCATACAGATTATTCGAACCATGAACGTCCTGCCGCTCTCAAATCGTATAGAAAAGTTTTAACAGTAAAACTCTGCATCATCCCCTCCGTCTCTTCTCTGATTACGAAAGTTCTTGACTCGAGACTTTCTTCCGGTTTTCGTATTGGTAATGTCAATGCGTGATTTTCATTTTCCAAGCTTCATTTCAAAATATACGGCCCCTTTCTCTCATGTTCATATAGCTTTTCTGTAGTTCTCAAGGAAGCCAAGCATGTGAAGAAAGTCTCCCTGGAAAATATAATTTAGCCTTGAGGTTCCACTTCCTCACGATCACGCTTGTCGTCGAGGCCTTACCCGTGCATACTCTTGCAACGTGTTATGGTTTTCAAACCTCTACACTACCAGTCATTTCTCTCCCTTTCCTTTCCGTATCATCTCATGAACTAGTACCGGTTAGGTAATAGAAACCCCTAAGCATATAGCCAAATCATTTTATACATCATGCAAAGTAACAATGTCATTCGAAACCGAGAAGTTGATGATGCATACCTTCCACATAATATGTACTGAACTCATCAAGCCATAGTGAGGCATCAAAAGGATGCTGTCTCCTGTGCAAAGTAATGAACTTACAAGTTTCAGCAGCAGAACATCCATTTCACCACTTTTGGACACAGCAGTACCATCTAAACCCAAAGATTCGTTCCTCTACCGATGGTTATTCGGGACAGATAACCCGCTAAGCCAGTTAATAGGCATAAAAGTAAACAACCCACAAGTGACAGATTACAGGCCCTCTAGTGAGTAGCAAGTTATTCTTATGGATGTTTAACATGATACTATAAAAGGACCGACATCCTTCTGGGAAAGCAACGATCAGTAAGTCAACAGTGAGGGTAACTTGACGAGCTCCATTATAGACATCATATGCCTCAAACCTTCTTAGAAAGGGCTATGACGTTGAAATTGAGTGAATCTGGATTTTTCTGAATCATTTCTTGGATGACTTTAGCCGTATCCTGTCATGCAATAAAATGGTTAGACAAAACTCCAATAGAATGGGTGACAATAGTAGATGACCAGTACCACAAAAAAATAATAATAATAATAAGGGACAATTACACAAGTGGTCCCTGTACTATGACCCAATGCGCAATGTCACCTTTGAACTTTTAATTTGTTCAATGTGGTCCCTGAACTTTAGCTTAATGCGCAATATCATTCCTGAACTTTTAATTTGTTCAATTGGTCCCTAAATTTTTTATACATGTCCAATTTAGTCCATAAATTATACGAAAATGTTTAATGTTGTCATTCCCTGAACTTGAATTAATGGAAAAACATTGAATATTTTCATATACTCTAAGGACTAGATTGAACATATACCAAAAGTTCAGGGACCACATTGAGCAAATTAAAAGTTCGGGGATGAAATTGCGCATCGAGCTAAAGTTCAAAAACCACATTGAACAAATTAAAAGTCCGGGGATGACATTGCACATTGGATCAAAGTTCATGGACCATTTGTGTCATTTTCTCAAATAATAATAAAAGGTGACCAAGTTGCTAGAACATATGAATTAAAGAACATCAGGAAACATCCCCATGGATTAGGCTGTTATACAAGTCTCTTGCACCGGAAACCCATTCCTGCCCCAAGACCCCCCACCCTTACTCACCCCATACCACAATGCCGTCAGTATAGTTTCCAAAGAACCTAGCAAATCCTAGATAACAGCTAAGGAGGCAAATTAGAAGATAAAGTCAGAAAAATTGACAGCTAACCTGCAATAAGCTGCTCGGTGAGGATGGACCATGTGATATAGGACTGGACTTTTCTCCATCCAGCTCAAACAATTCACCTAAATATTTGAGAAGGCAACTGATCCCATTAGATCAACAGACTTTGTCAGGTGGTTGGTGAGCCTTTGCCTTAAGATAAACACGAGTTTGCTAGCGGAAAAAAAAAAAAGCGCGCAGAGAGAGAGAGAGAGAGAGGAGGAAGAGAAGGGAGAGGGGAGCTCTGCTTACCATCTACACATGTAAAGCAGATAAAATGTGTGTCAACGTAGTCCGGTGCCTGTCAAGAATAATCAGTGGGACAGGATGAACAGTCAGTGCTCAAAGTTAACAAGGAAAATTAAGCTCATAGTGCCAGAACAATCCTTTGACCATGGATTAGTGTAAAAATGATCCATGCAATCAATATCTAAAGTTCACAAGGATAATAAAACCTTACCAGTGTATCACCCGCTGCCGCAGCTACCGAGTGAGCAACTTCCATGTCTCTATCATTCTCCAGAAACACAGCTCGCTAAGAACATAGAGGGAGAAAAATGCAACGACTATGAGTTAATCAGAAGAAACTATTGCTAAACAGAATGATGGAACTCTGAGCACTCTGTGCTTATTCATTCATGAGAGAGAGAGAGAGAGAGAGAGAGAGAGAGAGAGATTACCTGACAAGGATCCATATCTGCGGTGGACTTGAAGAACCTATCAAAATAGGATCCTTCCACTGAAGGAGCGGAAAAGGAAAAATATATGTCAAAAGGAGTTTAAATAGAGGCAGTCATATAGTTAAGAAAATTCTAAAAAAATACATGAATATTTATCCTCTACATAAAAGAATCTTCTACTAGCAAAATTCCTGATAAAGAGCGTAGCCATCATTGCAGATATGAAATTGCATATTCCACGACATAATTCAATATTTTGCCTTCTAGTCATGAAAAAGTTAGTATGAGGGGGTAAATATGATAGCTCTAATCCATGTAAAGAAGATGTTCAGGTATTGCCCTTTTCTTCAAAGTTCTCTAGATAGCAGTAGTAGCTTTCCTTTTCCCTTCTCTTTTGTTGTTTGGACCTTTTATTATTTTATTTTTTTGACATTGCTAAAGCCGTCTCCTAAGGTTTAAATACATCTTAGACTGGCTGATACCAACACTTTAGGGTCCTAATGGTATCATCATTCCTCCAAATTCTTAATGATTCTTCCCTAAGTCAGTTTGATTGGGGTGTGAAAATGTAACACCAGTCAATCATCCTACAGAAAGGGCTCATGATTCCTATGTGTACCTTCTACGGCACTCTTAACAAGAATTCCGAGGATTTGGAGGATGTCTGCTTCTTCACAAGCTTATCATGCACTTACAAGGAGCAGAGACAGTCCAAATAAAGGAAACTAGTGGAAACTTACGAAGCTTAATCTCTGAAGTGACGTTCCCAACAGCATGCAGAAGTCCAACTGTTCCACAAGCATTGCCCACAGTTTGTTTCATGAAATAAACTTTACTGCTAGACTCCTAACATCAGGATGATAAGCAGAAGTCATGACCAAAGTTTACCAAAAAATTTTGAAAGAGAGATGAATAAATATTGTAGCTAAATATTGTAAAATGACTACCAAGAGCAGTGAATATTTGAAGCATTATCGCACACCATTATAGAATAGAAATTAGCAACAGAATAAATAGAAGTAAAACACAATGAGTTTCATCCATTATTAATTTCAAAGGCATCAATGAAAGTGTGTTCAAAATAAACATTCTTCAATACATTTATGACATATGCGTAAAAAAACTAAGAAAGCCTACCTTCGTCAAACTTTCTTGCTGTATTCTCTCTTCTTCCGACTAAAACAGAGAAAGAGTCATGTGAGTCAGCACAAAGTATCTTGTCTCACTATATCCACAAGGAACGACAGACATACTAAGAAGGATGGAAGCACAACGAAATCTAGGCACCTTCGACGTGATGGGATAGAGGAACAAAACAGCGAGTACAGGCTTCGGGACCATCTCCAAGAGTTCACCATCTAACCCGAAGACGTCGAAGCACTCGACCTCATCCTCCGGAAGACCAAGGCCCCACAAGAACTGAAAAGGAAAAGAACCCAGATAGCCATCCGCAAAAGAAAATTTTCTAAATAGATCAATCTGCCGGTAATGTGATACAGACCAACCCAAAGAAATCCACATATGTCATTCTACATATGCACGGTGAAGCATAACACTGACAAGAGGTTTTTTTTCGGCCAATTGACTAGAGGTGATGATGAAAAAACTACAGATATTGCACACTTTGTTAATTTCACACAGAGACCAGAGCAACATAGCCATAATCGAACAATCTGGACAGAACCAGCTTCTAGAATGGTGTCATTGCTGAATTACATGCGAAACCATAAACCAGTTATTTATGGACCCAATAATCAGACCCAACTTCACCATTAAGTGCAATCACCGTCAACATTCATTTAAGCAATTAAGATCAGGACTGCCCAGTCACTTTTTTTTTTTTTGGGTCTGTCCTATTTCTAACTCTCCTCTCACTCTCTGAGTTTTGCTCTGCCTATTGCATAGCGCGGAAGTTGAACCCCACACCTGTGATACTAGCATCCCCCCAATCCCTTTACCAGCAGTGCCGCATGCCAATTGGCACTGCCCAGTCACTTCAGTAACAACAAAATCAGTCAATTCAGGCTCATCTCCAAGAGCAAATTGATCAGCTGCAAAGCAAGGTACAAAAATCCCTCTTCACCAGTCAACGTAATCCCCGACCAGTGTGCAAGAACTGTTTGCGTTCGTTTCACACAATTCCATCCGCGTCGAGATCAACAAACACCGACTCCCAAACGCCCCCAATCGCGAACCACATCTTCCTTTCGCTGATGCAATCGAAACGGAAGCAGGTCGACGCGGCAAATCAGGCGCTACCGATTTCAGTTCCTTGTCGATCCGAACTCACGATAAAGGGTGGGGGCAGCAAGCAAGCAAGCACGTCTACCTGGTTCATGATATCGGGATTGGCTTCGAGAGGGAGCCACCTCTTGGCAGAGGGGCTCTCGTCTACCGTCGCCATTGAAGGTCACCTTCGAGGGTTTCTGCAACAGGAGAAGTGAGAGAGCGAGAGAGAGAGAGAGAGTGAGAATCTCTTCGATGCGTAAGTGCGACGGGGTTTCGTTAAAGAGACGGCGCCTATTTTATAGGTAGATTCCGGTTCGAGTTGACCCGTCGTCGCCGACTCAACTCGCTCGAGCTCCTCTTTTCTGTTTATCGAAATGAAATGGAGATCAATGAGTTAATTAAATCTAATTCATCTCTTTCGATCTCCAATCAAATCAAAGGTTCGCCAAAATGAAAAATTTGGAAAAAAAATATTGTTAAGAATGATCATTTGTATTTTTTAAATAATTAGCCTCTTGTGAAAATTTATTTCCAAACATCTTCTCGGATGATAAATATATTTTTCGCCAGTTCATTTCTATAAGTAATTATTTTTAGGAAAATAATTTTCCTAATCATTCATATTCTGCTTTCTGCGAGACGAACATAACCTAAGTGTGACGAATTGAGCTCGAGATAAAGCATGTTCATTATAAATTGCTTCCTCGTCGTCTAATCGGCATCGTATAAAAATAGATCCGAGATTCATATTAAGTATATTGAGTGTGACATGGAATTACGTTTTTAAGATCTTTAGGGGAGGTGGTTCAGTCAAGGTGCATGAAAGCCGACTTGGACACGACCCGACTACTTAAGAAGGAGCTTTTTTTCTCAGACCTTTTAAGTTACTATTTATAATGCCAATTATCATAATACTGTCGCACGAGTTATTGTAATTATATTATGTTTAATTTGTGTCAAAATGTGGCACTTTATTTTATAACACATGATTTCAACCAGTAATTAACAAATTTGTAGCCATATTAGGTCTAACAATTAAATATGATAGACTAACGTTATCCCCCAAGAAGGTGATCATTCTTGGCAAAAGCGAAACATAAATTCCACAATGACACTAACTGAAAGCCTGGCTCAAAGTTCAAGTGCTTCTATGGTTAAAAATAGAATTGGACAGTGCTCTTAGTCTTGATTTATTCTTTAATGTCGACTTGATTACCATCAGTTCGAAGGGAAAGCTGAATTTCTGTGAAGCTAATATCGGCGTCGAAATGTGAGCACGCATGAACGGGTCCCGCTCGAATCTCGCCACATCAACCGTACACCGGATGATGTGTTCGTGAAGGACGCATTCAGAGGAAGCGCAGGAGGCAGAATCGAGAGAGAGCCATGTAGGCTCGTTTCATGAGGTTTACAACATTCAGATCCCAGAAGATAACCACAATTTCTGCTCTGGTTCCGTCGCTAATAGGTCGTCGCAAAATTTTGCGATGGAAAAAAATTCGTCGCAAATTAGCCACGAACACTATCCGTCGCAAAATTCGTCGCAAATAATTCGTCGCAAAATTCGTTGCAAATTAGCCACGAACACTATCCGTCGCAAATTAGCCACGAACTTTATTCGTCGCAAAATTCGTCACAAATTTCGTCGCAAAATTCGTCGGAAATTTCGTCGCAAATTTAGTCGCACATTTCGTCGCAAATTTCGTCGCAAAATTCGTCACAAATAATTCGTCGCAAATTAGCCACGAACTTTATTCATCGCAAAATTTGTCACGAAATTCATTGCAAAATTCATCGCAAAATCCGTCGCAAAATTAGCCACGAACTTTATTCGTCGCAAAATTTGTCACAAAATTCGTCACAAAATTCGTTGCAAAATTCGTCGCAAAATGTATTCGTCGCAAATTAGCCACGAACTTGATTCGTCGCTACTTATTCGTCGTAAATTAGCCACGAATTGTAATGGTCGCAAAATTCGTCTCTAAATATTCGTCGCAAATTTTACACCATTTCAGCCATCAAATCTTGTCCATATCAATAGCTACGCATTAATGAACATCATGTAATACATTGAAAACAATCAAAGGACACGAGACAACCACTGATTCCGCTTCAAAAACAGAAAATGAACAAACCAGACACAATGCCATATAATTGAAAAATATAACTGAAGGAAAGATGCTAGTCCGCAAAAAATAATGATATATGCAAAGTTGCAAAGTCTGACATGATGCTTTTTGATATCCAATCTTATAATACATTCAAAACATTCATAGGAGGCGGGACAAGCATAAATTTTGCTTAAAAAACGAAAAATCGACAAACCAGACACAAAATTGGGCAGCTTTGGTACTCGGCAGGACACCAAAAGCAGTCACTTTTGTCAATACCTGATGAAATGTGGATACATAAATAAAGATATTCAATCAGTCCAGAATATAAAAGAAGTGTTTATGCATGGATGTGGAACTAGGTATAAAAAAACAAGAGGGTTAACAAAAAAACGTTTCAGGACGAACATCAATGTTCTTACATATGAATATGAGTCAACTTTGACATCCACTGTAGTTTTTTCACCCTTGTAAACTGTATTTCTGTCACCTAGGAAAAATTAGATCCTTGTCCAAATAGCATTCAACAGTTTAATGATTTAGAGAGGTGAATTACCAACACCAATTCCCAGGAAGAGAGGACTCAAAGTCAATTAAGGCATGTATTTCTACAATGTTCAAATATCATGATTTTTTTTTAACAAGCATGTCATCCTGGAATCTCTAAATTTTCAGTTTTTCGCAAGCAAAGAACCTAGTTGTAAGAAAGTTGTGCACAAAAAGTAATTGTAGGGCAGAAACATATTGGGTGAAACTGCACTTATGTCATAAAAGATTGTGAAGCAAGCTTACCCCCAATTTTGGGAATTTTAACTAGAAAGGACCGAGAAAATCATCATCATCATCAGCAATCTCAACATCATTGTGTCGCTCATCATTGTGCCCATCACCTATTGGATTGGCGGGAGGTAGAGGAGGAACCTCACCGCGATTGAGGTTGAGGTGTCGCATAACGATTTGCATTTATTGTTTCAAGTCATTTATTTCTTCGTCCCTCTCTACAATTATATTTTTCAGTTGGTTCACTTCTTGGGTCAATTGCTCGTCATGTCGTGTCCTCCTTCGACCAGCCGCATTGGATGATGAAGTTCCAACATGATTCGACATGTACATCCTTGACAAGGATCCCATCCCAAATATTTTTCCTTTTTTCATCCCACCCGTTGCCTCCACCCATAATGCCATACTGTCAACTGATGGCTCAGACGCAGCACAACCATCACTACCACTAGCATTGCTCATTAAAAGTTCATCATATTTTTCCTACATTAACAATATAGATGAAAATAAAATAACTTAATATATATATCTACCATAAATATTAAAAGCATTCACAGTTTTCATTCTAGTTTCCATAAAGCCCAAAGTATAACCTTACATACCTTAATAGCTTTTGCTCGATCGCCAGTCCATGTCTTATCTTTCTTTTGAAATGTGCGTTCAAATGTAGAAGCAAATGTCGGTTCCATCCCCAATTCATGTGCCTACAAAATGTAAACATGAGTAATTGAATTAAATTAACTTATAACTTATTTAACAAACTTACCAGTCATTTGCGATGCTCCCCAATGTTGATAGAGCCCCCAGCATATGTGGCAGACCCTTCACTAGAACTAGAAGATCGATTCTTTTTATTCTGCTTACTGATTTGCTGAGTCTTTTCAGTTTCCCAAATTCTGTTAATTTCCGTCCAATTATCAGCTGTAATGAAAGCCGGCTTCACTTTCTTGATCTTCGCTCTATTCATCACATTTCGTATGTGATCACTGACTTTCTTCTGAAAAATTCTTCTCACTTTATTCTCTTCCTCTTCATCCCACTTGAACTTCCGTTGCAATCAATACAAGAAAAACTGAAAGTTATTATGATGGTCACATATCCATTACCATGCACCAGATAATTCGGTAATAGATTTTGTTAAGTTCATCTCGGGGAAAATATTTGGTCCCTTTAGTACCGAAAACTAAAGAGTTGTTCTAGTCCCTTTACATCATTCTTGACCATCAATATACTACACCGAACTTAGTTGGTGAAAAAATAGAATATCTAAAACTTACCTTGAACTCATTCCACCACAAATCTTTCACTTCTTGTGGATCATTTCTGTAATTAATATACTGCCCCATCTAATAGTTTTTGACTATTTTATTCAGTTCCCTCACAACAAACGGAGCATCCGTGAATCTACAAACATACGGATATTATGCAACATCGACAATTCAGTTGACATCCATATCTAAAGCCATAAATATTACATATACTAAAAAAAATGAAGTACTTACGAATCTCCAAATGGGCATATCATGAATCGGTTATCTTCTTCACCTGTGTTTCCGTCATTATTCGATTGTTGCGTCGAATAATAAGGTGGAACGGAAGGAGATGGATCTAAAGGAGATGGAACTGGAGGAGATTCAGTTCGCATGTGGCCAAGTCCCCTACCATGTTCTTGAGTGTTGGAAGAAGGGCCAACGTGTCCATATTGTCCATCAGCATATAGTGGTTGAGGGTTAGATGAAAGGACAGGGGAAGAGGAAAGGGATGGGGACGAGGACGAGGAAGAGGCTGGTCTTCTATGCATGTGACCTCCACGTTTATACTGACAAGTAGGAAGGTTAGACAAATATATAAAAAAATATGAACACGTATTACGGACACATAATGACGTACATGACGAAGCTTACCATTTTGGTTCAGAAGCAGAAATGTTCCCTCTTAATTAGCCAATGCCGAGTGTTTATGACGTGCAATTTCCTACGAACAAATATACTATGAATCGCACTCATTTTGATATCAAACATCAATATATGAGCACAATATGCCATGCTAAGTCGACAATAACCATAATTAACCACACGATCCACTTTCAAACCACATGATAATTCATCAAGTACAAGAACAACCATGAAACATCAATTTCAGCCACATGATCTTCGTTCTCGGCCACACGATCATCAATCAAAGTGGGTGGCCACGGGCATTATAAGCCATTCTGTGAAGTTTTGAAATTTTTTATTTTTTTATTTTTTTTTATTTTTTTGGGCAACTGCAAAAATTTAAATTTCACTCAAAGTGGGTGGCCACAGGTATTCTAAGCCATTATGTAAAGTTTTGAAATTTTTTTATTTTTTTATTTTTTTGGGCAACTAAAAAAATGTAAATTTCACT